AGAGGATTTCGAGAGGAAAGATGGGCTTCGGCAAGGAGATCCTTTATCCCCTACCCTATTTAATATTGCTTTAGAGTATGCAATAAGGGCGATCCGGACATATTCTAGTGGAACAATTTATAATAGAATGACACAGCATCTGGTTTATGCTGACGATGTTGTAATAATCGCAAAAAATAAAACATCATTAGCGGGAGCATTAGAAGAATTCGAAACCCCAACTAAAGAACTAGGTCAACAAATGAATAAACAGAAGACTGTTTATATTCAAACGTCAAAAAAGCCAGGTGAAACAGTCGAACTCGTCACAATTGATAACCACACCCTAAAAGTAGTTATTAGAACATTTTAGATATTTGGGAGCTCTAATTACAGAAAGTAATGAAATGCTGGAAGAATTAAAAGCAAGGATGGTCACCGGGAATAGGTGCTGTTTTGCAATGCAAAAGAATATTAAATTACAGATCCCTTTCTTACAGAACAAAGATCACGGTGTATGAGAAAGTCATCAGACCTGTCGTCACATATGACTCTGAGACTAGGATGATCTCCAAAGCATCCGAAAAAAAGGTTACTCGCATAGGAGAGAAGGGTTCTCCGCAGGATCCATGGCCCGGTGTGCGAACAGGGACAATGGAGAATTCGTACTAATAAAGAGCTGCATGAAATGTCTGCGAGGCCGGATTTGGTCTCAAATGTGAGGGGAAATCAGATCAGATGGTTGGGCCATGTAGCATCCCCACGCATATCCCGAGACACGATTCCGACACATGCTGGAAAACGTGGAAGAGGAAGACCACGCCTAAGATGGCTGGACCAGGTAGAGGACAGCCTGTAAAGGATGGGAATACAAAGATGGAGAATGCTCGCTCGAGATAGAGGAGAGTGGCAAAGGATCATAAGAAAGGCCCAGGTTCTGACAATATAAAATAAATAAAAAAATATAGAGAGAGATAGATATATAGTTGATTGTTGACTTAGTAAGGATGAAGAATGGTCAGGAAATACAGTCAAAAAATTTATTTTTATTAAGTTTACTAACATTTCGACCCAAACATATGGGTCAGGTAAAAAAAGTAAAAATACAAAATTGCATTAGAAAAACGATAAATATAAATATTTTTATATTATATTACTTTAATCTCATTTGTACGTTCCACCGCTTTCTCCTCTTACTTACATACTTTTGTATTAATCATTACTCTGATTTAATTTTGTATTTTTAATTTTTAGCCCAAGATGGTAATAAACAAGATAAACATAAATTTTTTTATTGCACATCCTACCCCTACATTTACATAATTATTATATAGTCATGATGAATATCATAACTTTGAATTAGAATAAAATATTTCATGCCATGATATACGGACATCACATTATGCAAATGATAGAGTGGATAAGCAAGCATGGGGACTAAGAGACATCATGTGGAATTCTATCAAGAAATATTGTTCTGCCCAGAAGATAGAGTAAGGACCTACTATTTCAGGACACTGACATGGAGAAAAGCAGGAGCCCTCCATCTAGAGCTCGCAGGCATCATGGGAACCTCACATGTGTTCACGAACAAACTTGATCCGGCCTATGTCTACCATAACCTTTATTTAACGATTACCATGGCAACAGTTTTATTAGTACTCTATTGTGAGTTTTTATTTTCATAATTTCAGTTGCCTACTGCAGATCGACAAGTTTTCATTAAAATGTTGATTTGATTGATAATTGAAAATAATAAATAATTCATTTAACGATATAATATCACCGCTAATGTTTTGTTTAATCTCTTTCTTTGGTATTAATAAAAATAAAAAACATTACACTGTTGGTAACTCTGCATTATACTTATTTTATACCAATTTATAACTCTAATTATTTCTAATTTTAATTTCAAAATTCACCAATCATTTCAGTAATAAAATCATATCATTGTAAAATGATATTAGTGTCGATTAATAACAAAACACTTGATGTTTTCGCCTTTTCTGGAGATATATGTTTCATAAGTTTTAGAAATGGGTTTCATTAGAAACTCCTAGAGGGTAATTTGTCTCATGTTTTAGAATGCTTACAGAGCATGATTTCCTGCAGAAGCACCTCCACCCCACCAGTATAAAAGAAAGTCTGGCATGTCTTCTGTGTTCCTTAGATATTATGATAGGAGAATATCTTGATACATGCCCTGCATTACAGGACAATAAGATGTGCTTTTAGTGAAATGGACAATCCTTATGCTAAGAGAGCGGATTCATATTGGACTGCAAGATTACGCATGGCTGATCAAGCAGAAATTATTCAGGCATAGGAAAAAAAAAAAAAGTTTTAGAAATAATAAAGATGTCTATTACTATATGTGTATACTTCTTTATATTTTATGGAATGTAATAATATACGATAGCATAGTAAATACAAACAAATGGGTTACTTTGGTTTAATTTGTATAATAAATACCTAGAATTTCTCAGCTTTAGTCCAATAACTAAATAATGTCAAAATAATTTCTGAAAAATCTTTACAATAATTTGGATCAGAAATTGGTATACTTAAAATTATGGAGTAATACTGTTTAAAACAACTTAATGTCACCTTTGGGGTTATTTTTTTTTTTTGGGGGGGGGGACATTTCTACTGAAACATTGTTTTATTTTCTTCTTTCCTTGCCTATTGGAAATAAAGATTTTTGGTTAGAAGTAGCGCGATACTTCACTCACTTATCCTCTGATTCTTCGGTCTTCGTTAGTGGAGGTTAAAGTGCTCATCCTCCACTAATTCTTTCCACCTATGCACGAATGCTTCGTAGTACGGGTAGTTATCCTTACTAGCTAAGGGAAATCGTCCTCCATGATGATATAGAGTCTGGCTACTCTGAGTAGTTAAGCTCTTATTGCTTCAAAAGCAATGCTAATATGCTCAGCAGTTTCTGGAACTCCACAACAGGAACATAAGGGGTTAATTTTTTTTCCAAAGCCATGAAGCTTAGAGCAAAAACCTCCATGGCCTATGAGGAATTGTGACACCCAATAATCAGGGAGGACTCATTTCGCTTCCAATCTTGAATAGATGATAGGAAAGTATTTCCTCAAGGTAGAGCCTTTAGAGATGAATTGTTACCCACTATCGATTCCACTGCTCAATGGTTTTCTCCCTTATTATTCTTTGCCATTTAGTAGGATCTGCCGCAATCCTTTCTTGGAGATTTTCCAGATGACTGTCTGAGCTTTCTTCTTAAGAATATACATAAGCTCGCCTTCTTCCAGGAGAAGGTCGAGAGGTATCCCTCTTGCTAAAACCTGCTGTATGAACAATAGTCCTGTGGGAGTTTCTTACAAGCAGCAGAGCCATTCTCTGGAATTCGCCAATCTCCTCTTCTGTAGTTGCGAGAGGTTACAATTCCAAGCTGGAGAGGCGTACTTCAAGATACACAGTACAACTCCATTATAGTCATCATTGCTCGGTACCTGAGGTCCCAGAAGGCACCACCAATACAACTTACTTCATTGAGGGCTAGGGTTACCCTACTTTTCAGGTAATCCAAGTGAGGAGAAACATTGAATCTTCTACCGAATCTTACTCCAAGATAGGTTACTTCCTCACTCGGACTAATCCTTATATCTTGTATATTCAAGACTCGGGTGAGCCTTAGCTCCCCCGAGTATAAAATATATGAACCCTTCAGAAGTATAGCTTGGATTTTGGTGTCTGCCATTTTCAGCCTTTTCCTTGGAGCAAGGCATCAGCAGTTCCCTTACCTCTGGTGGATCCATATTGCTGTGGATGGCTAGCTCTGTCTAGTGTTGGTCTCAAACAGGTTAGTATTAGGTACTCCAGAATCTTACTAATCACAGGGAGGAGAAAGATGGGTCTGTATGATTTAGCCACTTGCCAATCTCTGCACCGCCCTTGTAGAGCATTACCAAATCTGCAATCTCCCACTCTCGCTGAAAGTACCCCTTATCAAAACAGTCATTGAAGATGTTCAGTAGCCTTTCCTCAATGTAGGTGGCACCGTTCTTTAAGATCTCAGCATCAATACCGTCCAGTCCTTAAGCAGGACTGATTCTCTGCCTATCCACATCAGAGACCATGGATGTCCCAGGGTGGGTACAAGTTCGTTCCAGATTGATACACCTCAGTGTGCCTTATGAATCTTTCATCTTCATTGTCATAGGATGGTTCATACTTAGGGCATGTTGTCTCAAGGAATATTTTTGTAGGCTTTTCAGGAGTATTTACTTGGGAATCTCCATGTTTTAAACTTGCAAGTCTGTATCGTAGTAATTTTTTTATAGCCACTCTGTACGAAATATCCCAGGGATTCTTGGCTGTTTCATTAACAATGAAATCATCGCAGGGATTTCATTTTTTGGCGCGCATTTCGTTTTGGTATATCCTGAATTTTTCTTTGTAGTCGTTTCAAAGTGTAATGTACCTCTCGTCACTACATGACACAATCCACTGTGGTGTACAGTCTCAGATCCACCACATCAAGGTTTGGGAGCAATTATGTTTGACGAGGTGCCAAACTCCGTAACCATGTTCCATGGCAACTTGGCTCTTGGACCGCCATGACATCATATTTATCGAGCATAGCGCAAAGCTCGCCTGATACAACGCTCCGGTGGCCTTTTTTAACTGGAGTGTGTTGAGCTTTTTCACTTTTAGTTTTTTACTACTTCTAGTGATATCTACTGAAACTAATTACACATGAAAATAGAAGAATAAGGTGGTATAGATGGTGTTTACTTAAAAGAAAATCATAAACAAAACTGTGTCCAGCGTTAAATTTGTTTTTTTAAATGGCAAAAAAATAAATATACACGTAAATGATATTTACATAGTGTAAATAAAAAATGTTAATAAAATTGCCATGTAAGTTGATAATATTGTGTTTTACACATATCTTCAATTTATTTAAGAAAAATGACCTAATCTGCTTGTCTAAAAACTGTAGGAATGTCATAACCATAAGGATTTTTTTTAACATCAAACATTAAACTCACGTAACAATGCTTCTGACTAGAAGGCGATTTCTTGTACGGGCCATCTGAGCATCAAAAGGTACTTCATGGAACTGGTTAACAGCATTAGCTGCACATGAAAGGAGGCCTGTCCCAACAGAACATACAAGTGCAGAAGATAAGCTAAAGGCAGACGGAGCCATGGCATAACCACACATACTTGTCATTACAACCAGAGCTAAAAATAAAATTTTAAACAGAAATTAATTAATATAACTATAAATTAAAATTTATTAGAGCATCTTACATAAATAATAAAATCAAACAATCATTAAATTAAATTAAACAATTTTATCATAATTTCAACTAAGACTAAATAAAGAAATTTAATATTAAATAATTACAGGTCAATCGTATTTTTGACAGCATAAGGTACTGTTGTGGCAGAGAAGTGATCGTTGCTGAAATGTTTTCCTTATCAGCAAAGGAGGTTTTAATACCCTCACAGTCAGTAACAGCTTCATTTGTTGTAACCACATTTTTGAGCCTGGTGTTACTTGTTGCAGCTTTGTAAAGAAATGATGAACAGCTTAAACTCTAAAAAATAAACCAAAATCAAACTAAGATAATTAATGGCAAAACATCTGTTCATTCATAATATAGCAGTACTTTTAGTTTGAAAAATAGAAAGTCAGTTTCAATTGTATCTAAAAAATAGAAGAAAAGCAAACTTTTAATGTGAAATTAAACTGGCACCTAGATTTTTTGTTTTACTTTCCTTACAGAACCATATTGTAAAATAAAATAAAAATAGAGTGTTTACAACAGACAAGTAAAGAATGAAATATTTAAGTCACATATCTCCAAAACAGTGTTTGGTTTTTTTTTTTTACTTTCTCTCGGATTCTTTCCAGCAAGCGATGTAAGGAAAAATTACAGAGTCGAATATTGCATACAAGCCAGAACCAGAGAGCAAACTTAATTTGACTGCCTGCCTTTACCCTTTCCCATAAGAGTCAACAATATTTTAAAATAAATATCATAGCATACCATTAACTCACTTTATTAACAGAACTGGCATTAAAACAATCAATAAGCATAAATATTGTTTATTTAACCAAAACATACTATTTCACATGAAATGTGCCATCCACTAAAGTTCTGCCACTCAGGAAAAGTGTCTCCTATGCCCTCTTACCCAGTTCTAGCTATATATTATAGCTAATATGTACAAAAATTAATATTTCAAAAATATAAATAAAAAACTTACCCTTTGGGCATAATTTTGAAATGATAAAATTTTTAGAACACCTATACGACATGATAGGCATGGATAAATGCCAAATGACATTATATATCAGTTAGTAACATTTAGTTAGTCAACTATTTGGAAATACTCTTATTTAGATTCTGAAACCTACTTGTAAACATAACCTGTCCACCTATGAATGGTCCATTGGTGGAATCCTACTCCAAAGAGATGGAAACCATAAACATTTTGAAGGGGAGAATGGTTGGGGTGATCAATAAAAAAAATAGTACAAATAAATATGTATATTTAATATTAAATATACTTATTTATTTTTCTGATCACTCCAAGCTTTCTTCACATCAATTATTCACTAAATTCAACCATCAATCCATAATTATAAACATTTTGATGTCCTCCATTTTCCTTAAACAGAAGAATCCTTATTTTAACACAATACTGATACTATTATAAACAGATATACTATACAGAACCAAGATCTATAATATTCACAATGGAAGATTTTAAAAATTACTTTTAACTAAATAAAGTAATCTAATTTCAACATTAAAAAAATTCAATCTGATTGAAAGTTTGTACCAAATAACAGTCAATGAAGTTTCTTTTTTATTTACAAGAGTAATAAAAGTTTATTGGTAGAAGTTACATCATTAACTAAATACTTCTCTCACAGGAACCTCCCTACAATTTTTTATGTAGGATCAAAACTAAAATTCACTAATAAAACTAATAGTGTCAATAGTTAAAACAAATTGTCTCCACAATTTCAACAATTTTTATTAAAATTGGAAAGAAATTTCGCTGAGCGTAAATTAAACGTTCATTGATGGTCTCTTCTATTTATTAAATTCTTTCGACTTCTTTTTATTTTGTTAGCACAAGAGGCGCATGAAGCTGTCCTTGGCCTTTTTTTTTTTATGTTCTTCCCTACCTAGCCTTATAGCCTCATTCTCATAACATGGCCAAGCCACTTAAGCCTGTGTATCCAGATGTACGAGGGGATACTACATTCCTTGTAGAGCCTTAAAAGTCAACTATTTTTTTCTTCTTTGCCAGTTACCATTCTCACATACGAGTCCAAAGATTCTCCTCAGAAATACCCTTTCAAATCTGTTTAGCAGATTAATGCTTTCATTGATGAAAGTCAACGTTTCTCAACCTTATGTGACGACTGGCCGGGTGTTATCAGCGTCTTGTACAGCATAAACTTATTGGTACGGCTAACAAGTTTAGATCTAATGATGATGACGACGTCGTCTGCATAGGCCATGAACTTGTAAATATTGTTCCTTCCTGATTTAGTCCTGTTCTATTTACGATTGCTTGTAAAGCTATGCTAAACTGGGAAAAATGTACGAGAAAAAAAACTATTATACACCTATCTTAGGCCACCTTTCACTGCAAAAGGTTCTGATAATCCACAAGATTTTACTCGCCAGATTTTGCACACCATTGAGCCTTTTACTAATCGAGTTTTCTAGGCAGCCCAGTCCATGCATGGCAAATATGAGTTCACTCCTTGCAATTGTATCAATGGCAGCACGAAAATCAGTGAATAGCATCCAAGTTGTCAGCTGATATTCCTTCATCTTCTCAGAAATTTAAGACGAATTTCTTAATTTCTTGAATTGAATTATTCCTTAATAGAGCCTCATAATCAAAACCTCTAGTAATTCGAAACTCTTGGTAATCAGAACAAGAAAGAAAGAAGTGTTAATGTTGACTGACTAATAACGGGAGCCAGCAGGAAATTTAGGAAAGCAGGACCTCCACTGTGATTGCATGCGACCCCTCTCTGTTTCTCAGTACATCTTATTGGAATTGCTTTGTGCTGGAGGGTCGAAATCATATTGTAGTTTCTCTAAATGGAAAACATTAAAATTAATGATCATCCAAAAGTCGACAAATTTCACTATAGAAGGAGAAAAGTAATTTTATTTGGTTGTTATAATATGTGGTTTTTACAGCAGAAGTCACAAGGGTGTCCAATTCCCGAGAATATATTAGCAGAAAAGGCAAAGTTTTTCTTTAATAATTTTTTTAAGGATGAAAAAGCAGATTTTAATGCTGATAAAGGTCGGCTTGATTATTTCAAAAGCAGCTATGGAAAATGGTTTTTTTTATACATAGATTTTTAATTTCACTAGACCATTTCCTTACAACCAATTGGTTTTTTATTATTTACACATTTAATACTTGATTGGAGTTGGCGAATGGATGGTACGACGTCTACCAAAGCCTAAAGGGGCGTTTAGACATTTTAGGAACTATGGGACAAAAACATATATTAATGGTTATTTCACTATGTTAGTATTTTTGTTTCTTGATTTTATTATTTTCTATTTCCTGTCAGTATCAAGAGAAATAAAATAAATAGTTTGATTTCAACTAATGTCGCTGTTAGTTAAATTAAATAATTGTGTTTCCCATAGTTTGTGAAATGGCTAAACGTACCTTAATACTTTTAGGCTTTAGGGATTTCGCGAAATCAGGGTTTTTCTTTAGAAACAAAACCATAGACTCAATATGTTTATATTTAACTAATAATAGATATATTTTCGTTACATAGTGCAATTTTCCATTATTTTAATTTTAATCAGGATTTGATAATACGAACAGGTCATGTAATTTACATATTCGGATTATCAAGACTTTCCTGTAATAAAAACGAATGTGAAGGTGTTTCTATACTCTTTGTTCAACGTTGTTACGAGCCGGCATCGACCTTGAATGTTTTGTTGTGATCAAAACCTTTAGTAAGCAGAGGTTATAGTTGTCACGAGGGCTACATGGAGAACAACATGGATGAGTCTGACTGTGAATCTGTTGGTTCTAAAGTAAGTTAATATATATATATATATATATATATATATATATATAATGTTCAATCGGATATAATTATATTTTACTTTTGTTGTTATTTATATTTACTCAGTCGCATAACCTCTTAATTCAAATATGAGATGTTATTCAAGTTGTGACTTGTATAAATTATTTTTAATTACTAAGTTGTCTGGATTTTAACTAATTTAAGAGTTACAAATCATTAAAATTTAAAACAATATGAACTAGTGTCTTCCAAAGAAAGCATTTATTTGAGATAGCTTTTGATTAATCTTAAGTTTACACTAGCGTAACTATTCCACTTGTGTTTCCTAATTTATTTTTAGTATTAGTTCACAAGTGTCGCATTGGTTGATAGATAAATCATTATCACAATGGAAAAGAAAATTTCTGAAAATAATCAAGTGTTGCTAATTATGAGTTCTAGTTCACTAGTATTATGTATGGATGGCATATGTCTATGTTCACTTTGATCACACTTGTTCATAGAATGCCTAAAATGTCTGAAAGACATTGGTGGCTACAAAACTTCATTACCTAATTACCCGTGATTTGCATTTTTCCTCAATGCCTTCACTTCTCCCTGCTTATAAATATAGATAATTGTAGAAATGTCGATTATCGCATATCATATTAGACATAATTTTACGTTTTTAACCGAAAATTATGACTTTTTTGGATTTTATAAATTGTATAGAATATAACCTAACATTTCACACTCCTGAACTATTACCCATTTTTTTTCATGTGCACTAATGTATATTTATAATGTATATATATATATATTTTTTTTTTTAGGAAGGTGGTAGTGAAAGTGAGAATGTGGAAGAAAATAATGAAGTTAGCGAAACTGATGGAAATAGTGATAACAAAGAATTAGAGAATGAAGATGAAATTTCATTGAAGGAAACTGTGGATGATGCAAATGACAACCAGGCTGAAAAACAAACTTTTAAAGATTTAGTATGTTTTTTTGTTATACACAACCATTTTATTATTATTATTTTATTATTGTAAAGTGTTGGATATTAACTAATGACATATAGCTCTCTAACTTTGGAAATATAGCAATGAATATGATATACTGACTGCTTTGAATGTTTATATAATACTATTAGCCCTTTATTAGAGAAAACTATCAATTGTGGTCTCTACCACAGTAATATGATCTCTTCACGGTATCTTTATTTAATCTTGTATCTGTATTTTTAGTCCAATTTTCATCTTCTTTCTTGGCCTATATTTTAATTGATTCTTGTATGTGTAGGGTGTTATAGATGTTCTATGTGAAGCATGTGAAAAGCTTAAATGGTCAGAGCCTACTAAAATTCAAAAAGAAGCTATTCCATTAGCCCTTGCTGGTATGGTATATTCAATTTATTGGCTTAATTTGACTTAAATTTATTTATTTTTTTTAAATTTATTTATTTATAAATTAGGTCGAGATGTTATTGGTTTGGCTGAGACTGGATCTGGTAAAACAGCAGCTTTTGCTTTACCTATCTTACAGGCACTATTAGAAAATCCTCAGCGGTATTTTGCAGTTATTTTGACACCTACTAGAGAATTGGCTTTTCAAATTTCTGAACAGTTTGAAGCTCTTGGTAATTAATGAATTTAACATATTTATTACAGGATATTATATGTTCAGAAATTAAAATAGAGAATATATACATGTCAACAATTTTAATAAATTATTTATTTTTAGATAAATAAATTAATTATTCTTTGTAGTTAACAATCAATTGTATTAGTCAATAAGATCTTACATACAATATATTCATTAGTTGATGTTCTGAGGTTGTATCCCCATTTTCAAATCTTGCTTAATAACACAGTTAAATACTTCGAGGTTCTTATTTCGACACATGTTTGGATACATTTTGTCCTCATTATGATAATACTTATAAGACAAATTACCTTAATAGGAATTCCCATTTCCTCAGTCCTCTAGTCTTCTTCTCTCGTTGCACTTCACAAATCATATACAACCCAAAAATTAATGAAGAGGTGATGGGTAATTATTTTATACTTCCTGCATTTTTCCAATGTTACTCTCAGTGTGAAGATTTCATCTATTTTAGATTTTCCGTTCATAAAGCCTGCCTGGTTTCATAAAGTCTATGACCTCTTGGGAAAAAGGTAGATAGGATCCTCTTAAAAAAGATGTGTGAAAAGATCTTACATGCACTGAAATACAGTGGAATGCCACGATTATTTGCTTTGGACATTGCCGTATTACTTACAGAACATATTACAGTCTTGCTCCATTCATTAGGCATTTTTCTTATTGCCAGCATTCATCAGTAGGTTGTGCCTATATTTTATTATTTTCTCGCAACCAGATACTTGAATAGCTCTCCAGGTAATCCATCTCTACCTAATGCTTTGCATTTCTAAGCATCTGGATAGCATTTCAAAATTTATCCTCGTCTGGAGGCTCTAGGCCATCCTCAGGTAATTGGATATCCAAGCCTTGCTCTATATCATTTGCATCTAGCAATCTACAAAAATTGTCCTATCTCACCAGAATTCCTGGAATGTAGAATTGTATTATAAACTATTGTTGAAATCTGGTATTTTTAAAATTTTATATTTTCAATTATAACTAAACTCTTTCATGTATCAGTTATTATTATGATATGGTAATAGTTATATAATATTGTCAAATTGAAGGTTCTGGAATTGGAGTGAAAACTGCTGTGATTGTCGGTGGTATGGATATGATGTCTCAGGCTATGATGCTAGCTAAGAAACCTCATATACTAATTGCTACACCTGGAAGGCTTGTTGATCATTTGGAAAATACAAAAGGCTTTAATCTGAAATCTGTCAAATATCTGGTAAGAAAGCTTTTTTTAGTTTCTTTCAGCCACGCTCTGGTTGAATTTATGATTTAGATATACATTGTTGCTGAAATAGTAAATTTAATTGGAAAAATAGAATATTAAATTGACACCAAATGCTCATCATGTGTGTGCTGTTTTTTCAGACACAAGGTTGGTTTGCCTACATTTTATAGCTAGCTTATTTTATTTATTATAATGTAATAAAGTACATTTGGAGCTAATAACTTTAGTCCATAGATGACAGAGTGAGATTGCTAAAAGGTATTTATTGGGTGGTTTTCAAGTTTTGAAACAGAAATCTCATTTCTAAGCCAAAAAGTAGTAGATATTCAATGTTTTATCCATTATTCTCTACTTTTCTTTAACACTGATTACCTCTGCAAATATGTATCAGAAAAATATGGGACTTTTTATTTTTATAACCTAATTTCTACCGACTACTATGGTAAACTAAGATGGTCAGACGGTGTGCCTAGAGATTCGAGGGATGTCCTAGAAGTCAGGAGCTGGATGATGACCGCACAGACCACAGATGACTGGAGGAAGCCAAGAATCGTCACCAAGTTATAGCACCATGATTATCTTTAATTTGAGAATAATAATTAAAATTGATGCAAGTACCGTGGTGTACTTTTCTCTGATTGAGGAATTTGTAAATGTCCTATTTAAAAGGAGAAAAAAAAAACCAGGAATAATTTAAGTTTAATTAATAGGATTTAATAATGGTTTAGGAATAATAAAAAGTTTTTAATGCATACAATTTCATTTTGTTTAAAATTGTATTTATTTTGTATATAATAATATATTGTATTTCTCATAAACTATTAAATTATTTTGTTTTTAAGGTGATGGATGAAGCAGATCGTATTTTAAATATGGACTTTGAAATTGAAGTAGATAAAATCCTTAGTGTTTTCCCAAGAGAAAGGCGTACTTTTTTGTTTTCAGCCACAATGACAAAAAAAGTACAAAAGCTGCAAAGAGCCTGTTTGAGAAATCCTGTCAAAGTTGAAGTATCTACTAAGTACAAAACTGTAGAAAAACTTCAACAATACTACATATTTATTCCTATGAGATATAAGGTGAGTGTACATTCCAATGGTCCAATCTTTTAACATATTCTATTCTATTATGTTTTAATGAATGAAACTTTAACCATAGTGTGATATTTGAGAATATTCAATTTTAATTCATAAAATTTCTCTCTTACTTGTCATTTGATATCTTTAATTTACTAAAATTCTATAAAATTACATTATTTGTGGAAATCAGATATATTATAAAACTTTACTTGGGAGAGTGAAATATTATAAATTAATAAGAACACAAATACTAAGAAAAATTGTTCTGAAAATGGGTTCAAGGCCCGAAATGTCGATTGTAGAATGTAATTAAGAAATAATTTATATTAAAAAACAGATGAAACAGCAATGGAGAGGGAACCTAATACTTGAAACTACCTATAGAAGGAAATTAGTCGACTTTTCTACATATCATGAGTGATAAATAGTCAGGACGCAGTCATTTTAAAGGTTTTTATTGGTGCCGACATTTCAACCGGAGCATGTGGGTCATCATCTGGGCATTTCGAGCACTGAAGGTGTTCAAATACTGAGTATTTAAACATTACTCAGTAGATACCAAGTATTTAAACACCATTGCTCGAAATGCCCTGATGATGACCCACATGCTTGGGTTGAAACGTCAGTACCAATAAAAACATTAAAAATTACTGCGTCCTGATTTTTTTTATCATCCATGAAACTTCCTATTGACGAAAAAAATAATAAAATTGCTTAAACATTATTTATATATATATATATTTATAGTGAAAAAATACAGAAGAAAATTAATATTGAGTGATTTACTAAAAACTAAATAAGTATTAGCACTTACTGTTATAAATATTTATGGAAAAATCAAAAGTAAATTAATAATGACTGAAATCTATCAACTTATTAAAACTTTCATTATAAACCAAAAAGAGAAAAAATCGTATTTCTATGATAACAAAAATTGATTAAACCATTAGATCTAAGGTACTGGGTTTTAAAATACAATCATTGCGACATGCTCATCAATGGGACAGTTCTCCTTCTAAAAATTTTTGATTTATTTTTTATTATTTGCAAAAAATGTCAGTTTTAGTTAATCTAATTTTAATATTGATATTAAAACTATCTTCCAAAAATATAAATTTTTTTTTTTCATTACCGGTACATTGATCAACATATGTTTAGATGGAATGATCATTAGAATTTCAAAATAGCCATAAATATCTGGTATGTTACCTAGATAGCCATAAATTTAATTTATAAATATTTATATTTATATAAATTTAATTTAGCCATAAATAAATTTAAATAGATTTAATAGCCATAAATGGTATATTAAATTAGATACTTTTATTTTCTCTTATTAGCTTGAATTTTATGTTCTTTCTATTGATACTGTTATAATTAAATTTTCTGTAGTCGAGAGAAGACTTAAGATTAATTTTCTTTTGCTTATTAGGATGTGTATTTAGTATATCTGATGAATGAAATGGCTGGAAATTCTTTTATGATATTTTGTGCCACGTGTAATGGAACCATGAAAACAGCTCTGATGCTTCGAAACTTAGGAATGTCTGCTATTCCTTTAAATGGACAAATGTCTCAAAACAAACGTTTAGCTGCGTTAACCAAATTTAGAGCAAAATCAAGGACTGCATTGATTTCTACTGACGTTGCCAGCAGGTAATTTATTCAATTAAAACTTGAAAAATACTTCAATATTGTTTACTTGGAAAATGAGTATATGTACGTTGAAACAAAAAGGCCCAATGCTCAAAACTATAAAATTAGAGTTAGCTGCATGAAACAAATCAGAGCCAATGTTGTTCTATTAGCTATTAAGATTAATGGAAAAACTAGGGGCTCTTTAATAATTAACTTTTATCTACAAATTGTCGTCCTGTAACTGACAAATATCAATGGTACATCTTAGACCACAATTTGGAAATAATAATATCTTAGAAGTAAGATCAAATAATATTTAGAACTTTGAGACCATATGAAAAATATTTATTTTCACTTACCTATATATGTAATGCACTGATCTTCCAATGCTCAAGGTCCCAGATTCGAATCTTGTCTCATGGCCGAAAAATTATTTATTCTGTTTCATCAGCCGTGGGGGAACACTGAGATCAGGAGACCCTCCTGGGGCACATCCAGCCTCTATAAAGTGGGTACACATAATTAAATATTTGATTAAGGAGAAAAACAGTTGAGCGTGATTCAGTCAAATCACCTCCTTGCACAACCATTGACCAAGAAATGGTACTGAACCCAAGACCCCTTCATGGGTTGTAGTGGTGCAGGTTTTATATTTATTTGTGTGTGTGTAATGCGTAGTAAGGGGAAGTATTATGACCATGAAAAATTTTGAATCTGAGTTTTCAATTGAAATACATGTTTTAAGGTCCCAAGAGTCCAAATAATCAAGACACATAAAATGGTCTGTGTGCGTGTGTATATATGTCAAGCATAAAAACAAGAAGTCCTGTGAAACTGAAATTATGTTTTTAAGTTATGTATATGTCTGGGATGTTACAGCAACTTTTTCTCCAAAATCAACTAACTGGAAGTGCCACGCATTTATGATTATCTTTGAAATTCTTTGTTTTATTTTCATTAAACTCATATCAATTGAATGGTTTTTAATATTAGGTTTAATCAGGCTTAGTCCTCATTGATATAGTTTGACAGCTCTTAAATTCCAAATTAAAGAGTTTAAAAACATATGTAGTGATTTAGATTTACAATTGTTTTTATTAGAACGTACAATGCTTACTTATTTAAAGATTAGATATATCAATGTAATTTCTAATCTATTTTTGTATGGAGAGCTGCTAAATAAATTTGAATTATGTGGTATAAATATACTGTTTTTTTATTAAATTTATTTTATTTTTAGGGGTCTTGACATTCCACATGTTGACGTTGTCATCAACCTAGACATACCTACTCACAGTAAAGATTATATTCATCGTGTAGGTAGGACAGCTCGAGCTGGTAGAGCTGGTGTAGCTGTCACATTTGTCACTCAGGTACATTTTAACTGTTATTCTTTCTGATGTTTACATTTCCGATTACTTTTAATCACCATTAATGCTTTTTTTTTTTCAGTATGATGTAGAACTTTACCAGAGAATTGAACATTTGATTGGGAAAAAATTACCAAAATTTGAAACAAAGGATGAAGAAGTAATGGTACTAGAAGAGAGAGTTGGTGAAGCAAAACGGACAGCTGTGCAGGTATTTATTACATGATAATTTTTAGAATTCTATGAAGTTAACATTGTATTTTAAAATAATTTCATTAAAATTTTATTTTAGCAAATAAGAGATTTGGAAGATATTAAAGGAAGAAAAAAGAGACGTCCAAATGTTGATAAGAGTTTTGAAGATGATACTGAAACATCTTTAGGTATCCGTAAGCGCAAGTTTGGAAATAAGAAAAATAAAATGCAAAAAAAATTTGGAAAAAGAAAAAAATAGTTTTTATTTTTTGTTTTATTGTTATTTTTGTAATAAAAATATTAATTTTATTTCTATTATTTATAACATAATTTCTTTGAAGTTTTAAACTTGGTAACAGCTGTTGCTGTATTGTACTGAACTCAAGCTAACTGTATTCTTACTTATATATAAATAAGAGTTAAGTACGTATACTTAACTTTGCTGCGTAAAAATATGATTGAGTGCAATGATAAGGCAAAATAAATAAAAACATACATATTTCTGGATTTATTTTAGAAATAAATCTAAAACTGTCAATGGGTGATAAATATTCGGGACTTAGTCATTATTTATAAAGTTTATATTGGTGCCAACGTTTGAACCCAAACATGTGATTCGAGCACTGAAGGTATTCAAGTACTTTGTTTGCAGTATGTGTACTCTACTCAAGAGTACTTGAATACCTTCAGTGCTCGAAACACGCCCTGATGATGACCCGCATGTGTTTGAGTTGAAACATCAGCACTAATAAAAACTTTATAATGACTGAATATTTATCACCCATGGTATGTAGAACAGTCAATAATCTTCCTTTAATAATTCATTTTTTTCATCATTTATTTATTTACTGAGTATTACAACAATCTGTCACTTGGACATTAGTTTTAGTAGGAAAACATTCACACTACATGTGCAAAAAAATATAAAATACATAGAAGCAAAATAACAATAAATTAATAATAATCGAAAAGTATCTACAAGAAATATAATAACTTAAAAATAAGAAAATTAAAACAAAGCAAAAACACATGCATACCTATATACACTATTCACAATCAGTTGAGGGAACTCCGAGACAGGCTTGTCCCTCCAACTATGAAGGAAACCTGGACTCAGGAAGAACCCTGCACTGCTCTCTCAACCGCATCACTGTTACTAAAGCCAGCAGAGATTGATCAAGAGCACTTAAGCCATATAAACTCATTTCTTGATTGGAGAATCTGGCCATTGCCAGATCTCCAATATATACAATCTACAAAAGGTCACGGGGCCACTACCATTTCAACCTTCTTGAAGGGTAGTAGGGATTATGCAAGAAGATTTGGATGATACATAAGGTTCTGGTGAAATTTGGAGAATTTTTCTGGGATAAGGTCTAGGACAAATGGAATGTTGAGGTCATGCTGTAGGGTTTTGTTGGTTACATAGAAAGGAGCATCTACTATTGTTCGAAGTACTTTTGACTGGAAGGATTGGATGCATTTGATGTTAGAAAATTTCGCTGTTCCCCACAGTCCATAAGTCCAAATAGGTTTCAGTATTGTCTTCTAGATCAATAACTTATTTCCAATAGAAAGCTTAGATTTTCTGTATAGTTGGCCGTATCGTCAGTTAAGTTCCTGTCTTTTAAGTCTAGTCTGAGGGTTCCACGTTAGTCTTCTGTCTAAGAGAAAGTCAAGATACCGGACTGTATCTGAGAAAGGAAGCTGGATGGTGTTAAAATAAATGGGTGGACATGATTTACAACAAAGGGTGAAGGTAATGTGTTTACATTTAGATTCCTTTATCTTAATGTGCCATTTCTTACACCAGTGTTCAATCAGGGAGAGGTGCATTTGTAGGTTTAATGACGCTGTTTTAGGATCTAAGTTGGTTGAAAGGATAGCGGTATCATCAGCGAATGTTGTCAGGAGGGTTTCGGGGTGGACAGGAATATCTGCGGTGAAAAGAATGTAAAGGACGGAACTCCTGTCTCAATTAAATAACAGTCGGAGAATTCAGTACCACAGCTAACTTGAAAGGAGCGGTCAGAAAGGTAGGATCGGAGTATTAGATATAAGGACTGTGGTAGATGGAATTTAAGCTTGAGCTGTACCCGGTCAAAAGCCTGTGCTATGTCCAGAAATTTTTGATAGGATTGGCAGTAGGCTAATTAGTCCGTAGGATGGTGTGTTATTGGCAGGCTTACCTGGTTTCAGGAAAAGGACGATGGTAGAATGTTTACATAGGAGAGGAAAGTGGGTAGTTCTTAAGATACAATTACAAATATATGTAAGGAATATGACAGCTTTAGGTGAAAGTTGTAAAAGGGTCTGTGGTTGTATTGAGGAGAATTACTCTTCGGTCTGCCTTTTTTTTTCTCAATGATTGCCATGTCTAGTATCTTCTTCTGAAACCTTTATTCTGGCAACATCACCATCACAGCCTACCTGCTTTTTTCCTGGTCATTATACTATTTTGTATTTCTTGGCTAATCTTGTTTTCTATATTTATTCAGGAGCCTAAGTAAGTGAAGCTAGTCTTGCTTTTAACTTAAAATCGAGAAGAAAGATGCTGTTGTTTCTTTAGTTATTTGCAGCTTTTAATAGCATATATTTTGTTTTTTTATTGATTTAGAGTGAGTCCAACTCTGCTACCACTAGCGGATCCAGGATTTAATTTTGGGGGGGGGAGCTTCAGCCCGAAACCTTTTTTTTCATAAAAATAACGATAATTACTTTGGAAAAACAGAAAGAAACTAACTACCTATATGAAATGGTGTTTAAGTGGTTCCTTAAGTCCTTTTAAATGTGCTTAAACGAATAATAATACTTTAAAAGGTATTTTTTAAAAAAAATTTCCCAGAAATCATAGTTACATTTTACCATTTTGGGGGGGACTTCAGCCCGAAAGCCTCCCCCCCCCTGTAGATCCTCCCGTGCCTGCTACCTCTTTTTATAATTTCGAAGGGTTCCTTGAGTGATGCTTCACTTCTGCCCATAATAACCAAAACATCTGCATTCACGCAAATTTGCCAGGTTTTATTTGCTACCATTCCAGCTTCAATTTTATCTTTAACTGCCGAATGTAAGGCCAAGTTGGATAGTCTCGCCCTACCTTACTCCAGAGATCACATCCATCAAAAGCAACACCCATTTTGTTCCCACTCATAATTTTGGTAGCAGCATCTATTGATGTCATTTTTATGACCCTTATAAGTTTCGCAGGTAAACCATATTTTTGAGGATGCTCAGTAGATCAGCTCTTTTCACATTATTGAATGTTTGTTTATAGTCTATAAATAGAAGGTGAGGGTCCAAATTGTAGTCATAGAAAAGATCCATTGCTAGTCTTAATACAAAAATTTGATCTGTTGTGCCCCTTCCGTATAGGAAGCCGCATTGGTATTCATCCAAAATGTTTTCAGCAGATTAATTAATTACATGCCCTAGTCCATTCAGCCAAACCGCCCATTGAACTGGGGGTTTCCCTAAGTTTCTAAGATTTAAAAACTATTCCTACAATTCGCTCTTTTTTTTTGTTGGCTAATTTGTCCAATTTTGAACACAAGCTAAGATCCGAACCTACAAAATAAAATAAAATAAGAAAGAAATAGATTCACCCACTCAAAAAAAAAAAAAAAATGTGGCATAAATAAACGGAGTGGTTGCTGGTGATGCCCATCCCCCCTCCCAAGGTCGATTGTCCAAGAACCTAAACTCACCCCTCCGTCCAAGATATTTTATTGCTCATTTTCTTTAAAACAGAGCAAGGTAGAATTAGAAAATTCGTAGATCATATACAATTACACTTGCTGCGGTATGTTCCATGTTTTTCCCTTGTCCCTTACTCCAAAAATTCATAACCCTATCGAAATTTGCTCCCCAAAATTTAAAAAAAAAAAGTCAAAATATGCTCCCCTCAAAAATTTTGATGGCGCACTTGCGCTATGAAACCCTCTTCTGGGCACCACAGCTATTACGAAACCTACCTTACCTAGTTGGTAAAGAAAATAATAAGTTGTGTCCTGAATCTTTTATTTAATGCTTGTATTGCTAAAAGTAATCATTCTTTCTTGTAAAGTAATGATTCCCTATTGTGGATAACTAGACAACTATACTATGATTTAAACTAGAGATAATTTCAGCAACTTTTTTTTTCTAGCAACAAGATCTATAAATATGGGAAGCTATAACATTTTTCTACCAAGGGCGGTCCCTCCACGCCCGGTGATGAAATTAAGGCCTAAGGCCACAGAATGTATCCTATGCTTACCGCATAATCAGTCATTTACCTTAAAATACCCTTGGGTAAGCAAAGGTCGAATGAATATTGTATATATACATTTATAGTTGTATATTGTAATTAGTCTTAAATAAAGTTTCAGGGGGATCAGAAAAAAAATCCTACCAAAACAACCAACCTTCAAGTACCACTGGTAAAAAAAAGCTATGTTAAATTCGAGTATCGTTCCACTACCTGAGTAATGGTTCGAATGCGATACTAATATGTTATTTTTCCGTTAAGAGGGATAGGAAAAAAATAAGTAGTACCAAAAGCAATATTAAAGTGGAAACACTGCGAACTCAAAAGGTTATTCAGTGGTTAGGTTTCCTGTTGTTTATTTATTAAATTTTAGTGATGTCAAGAACTTTTTATGTTGTTTCTGTATGAAGTATAATGCAGAATACTAAACCTAAAGTTCCTTTGGTTCAACAAGATGTCAGCCACGAAGAAACTGTCCTACAAATTGCTTTTGCTTTGGATTCTTTGCAAACTATAGTTGAAAAAGTATTCAGTGATGTTGAAGATAGAATGCAAAAACAAAAAAGCCGTCTTAAAGACATAAAAAATAGGTGTTGTCGTGCTAATGATAAAGTTCAACGAATCAAAGGTATAAATAAATCTATAACTGTATTCTCTAGTGCCAAGTATCCAGTGCCAGAGCAAGATTTATTTTTTGAAGCCTTTGATCATTCAGTTCAGGTAACCAGGCCTAGCATAAAAATAAATTATACACCACTTCCACCGAACAAGATGACATTAAAAGAGAAAATGAAGTTTTACCATTTAAAAGATAGTACCCAAATGCTTCGAAAAAATGATGAGGTCAAACCTTTGGTGGGTCTAGGGCCAATCCCAGAAAATATCAAGAGTGTTAGTTCCTTATGCCTTTTCAACACTTCACACAACATCTATACAAAGTATGAAATGATTAATCCTTTGACTATTAGTAAGCAAACTACCTTAAAGGTAATAGAAGAAAAGCAACAACTTGAGCCTCCACCTGTTTCTATCAACGGGCCATTATTGGGAGCAAAAAACATTCCTAATTATTTTTATAATCCTATTTCACAAGATGTGCCTGATATTCAAGTGCCTATGGATCTTCCTAATTTACCTGGAATTGCAAATGACCTGAGATATGATGAAAATATTTTATCTGAAAAAGTTAATCAAGAACCTGTGCAAGCCCCTATCCGCCCAACAATCACTGAAGATAAGATAACGATTGTTCAAGAACTGCCTAAACTAGAAACTATTTCTAGCAATACCACTGCACCTCCCCCACCACCTCCTCCACCGCCACCACCACCGCCTATTCCAGAGCCAGAACCTGAACCACCTCCAGAACATGTTGATCACCCACCATCTACTGCTGATAAAATAGTTCAGCCTATTGTTCCTTCTCTTGAACCAGTATCTGACATGCGAGCTAATTTGATGGAAGCTATTCGTCAGGCTGGTGGTAAATCTAAATTGAAATCCATACAAAAAGAAACAAACAAAGCTCCATCGAAGGAAGGCCCAAAGAGTTTAATGGAGGATCTGCATGATAAGCTGTTGATGAGAAGAAAAGGGATTTTAGGTAAAACTGAGAGTACTGAAGTTAACATTTTAGGACAAATTGCATCTATGATTCCTCCTCCTCCTATAAAACAACATGAATCTGAAGAGGATGAGGATGAGGATCCAGAATGGGATGACTAGATTTATTTATTCATTCATCCTGCAATTAGTGTTTTTTCAAATGTCTAAATATTGATTTGCTGAAGTTTTCACTCCAGTGAATATGCCAAAGTTTTTGGGTTGATAACAATTAATATCTCTTAACTAATTGAAATATGCTAGCAGGAATTTGCCGCTTATAAACAATGGTATGTTCAGTTATTTATCTGTGACTTTTCAAGGTAATATACCGGCTTATTGACCAATGTTCAATGACAACCTGAAACTGCACCACTTTCTTTTGATTAATAAGTATTATTTAATGAATTGTTATATCATCAAGTTGTTAGTATACTTAGTCTTAGATATAAGTTTATATTTCAGTTTCTCCATTGTAATTCAAAATCTTAAATTTATTTATTGTTTCTTTAAATTTTAATTTATGTTCAGACTTAAGTAGAATAGTACTTTCAGGCTATTTGTGCTTTAAGAGTTTAAGTCCTATGATGAGATAACACCCATTGGTCCATGGCTCTGATAATCGAATATTAGGATCTGTTGTGTAGGTGAAATCTTTAATTGTAAATTCCGTTTTTGTTTCTTTTGTTAGATTGTTGGAAGGTTTTGTTGGATACATTCCTATTTTATATTTTTTAAGCGTAAAAGATGATATATATATTCCAGTGTGGAGAATGTTACCATATGAATCTAATTAGGAACAGATAACATGAATGATAAATGTTCGATTTCATTATTTAAGTATTAAAATTTTTATTTTCATAAAATTTTATTAGTATCTCATCATAAATTTATACAGCTTATTTTTGTACTGAGTAAAGATGTGATAGTATTGAAGTGCAATTATGTAGTTATTTACTAAGAATAGATATAATCTATGTTATTAATTTTGTATCTTTATTTAGGTTTTCTTTATGTATTTTGTTATTTATGTATATATCAAATAATTATCATTGTTATGATAATAGTTAATTGATTATATTAATTCATCATAATTAATAAGACTCTCACTGTATTAGACTTTATTTTTTATAGTAAATTTTTGTTCTCATATATGACATTATGAACAGTGACTGGTGAACATTAATTTATAATAATAATGAAAAGTAAATTTATAATCATCCACTATTTTCTAGTATAAAAATAATTCAGTCAGATGGTGCCATCAAAATAAGTCAAATTTATAATTTTTTATTTATTATAATACTTACTGAATAAACTCTATTTTTATGTTTCTAATGGCTTTCATTATTTTTTTCAAAATCTAGAGCGAAAAAAAATCATCTTTATCCGAGACAAAGTTTCTTAAGAACAATAATATTGTTGATACAAATTAACAACGAATCAGCCCAAAAGACCTATTACAATAACTAATAACTAAAATTTAAGTATTAAAACAAGTATATATATACCTCAGAAGATAAATTAACGAAAGCAGATGGTGATTGGGTCATAACACTGCAATATAGCTGCCGAAAACAGTAAAATAAAAATAAGTAAATGGAATTTGGAAAGATTATTTAATTAATTTTAAAGGCAAACCACTGTAGTAATAGGAAAAAAAATTATTTTACATCTGCTTCTTAAGATGTTTTAAATGAAGATTCATAATGGTATTGTAAAAAAAAATAAAGACTATTGTAATATGCTTATGAAGACAGATTGATAGGGGAAATAAATATATGTATATGCTGAAGGCAGGAAATGCTTCTTATTTTTATGTGACAAAAGTACTTAGCTCAAGCCTCTTGTACCCGAACTTAATAACCAGAATCTATAAAACCATTGTCTTACAGTTCTTTATGGATGCGAAACATGGCCGCTTACATTAAGGGATGTGCAACGTCTTAGGGTTCTTGAAAGTAAAGTATTGTGTAAAATATTCGGACTGAAGGATGAGTTAACCGGAGGGTTCCGGCGGTTACACAACGCTGCATTGCGTGAACTGTATCAGTTTAATATAATTGAGGTGATTACATCGCGACGAATCAAATGGGCTTGTAAAATTGTTCTTAGTGACGAAAGAATTCCTAAAAGGTTAATATTTGCTGTACCAAATAATAAACGTCCGTAGGATAGACCGAAGAGAACGTGGAAAGATTGCTTTAAAGTCAATCTGAAGGGACTGGGTTTGGACGGCTAATGGTGAAAGGAAACCTGTAATAAGCTATTGTTTTGTCGGCATCGAACCTTCAGGTTTGCTAAACATTTTATTATATATATATAATGTGTGTGTGCGTGTACATGGAGAAGAATGTTTCTAAGATTAGTAAAAAATCTAATATATCTTAAAGAATAAGAAATAAATCTTGTGAATAGGATAAATAAAAACTAACTATATCTACTCAAAATGCTTTGTGAAAAGTGATAGGAAAGCTTTTCTCTATTCATATCAGAAAAAAAATTATATATAAAGAAAATTAAAACCTAGTTACATAATAAAATAATTAGCAAGCGTCTTATTGAATTGTGATGAGGAATTGGAATAAGAAGGTTTTAAATGTGAATAAGGATGGTGTATGGCGGATTTTAGGCGGGATGGAATGGAGGACTATAAAGGAGTGTTTAAAGGAGGCAGATCTATGAAAAGAGGTGTAAAGATCAGAAAGACGAAGTCTTGTGAAAAGGGAGTGGATAGAAGACTAGAATTGGAGGAGATTTAACCTATATCAGCTCGAAAATGTTGCTTATGTTCTTTATGCAGGGAGCCCACCATATGGGCCGCGGCCTATTTACTATTGGTCGCCCCAAGACCAATGAAACAGATAAATAAATTTTCTGTCGTGAGTCAGGGTTTGAACGTGGAACCTTTAGCATTGGAAGCTCAGTACCCTACCACTGGGCTACCACACTCCCGGTTTATTTTAAAATGTAAATATAACTCAATAGATAGCGATTTCGCGCACTAGATCATACGCCATGGCATTTTGAAGCAATCTGACTTTTGCCTTGGTTTGTCCAACGAAAGACAGAAGCAGGAGCAGATTGTATCGGCGTAACACGCCTAGGTCGACAGTAGAAACTTTCTCACGTTTCAATAAAATAATTTACCCACTATCTTTTCATTACAGTCAGTTGTTAACAGGTCCGGTCTAGCTCCGTTTGAGAACCCCTGCTGGAGTCTGAAGTGGGGCTCCCTTATCAGGAGTATATATTTATTTACTCAGCTACTGGTCGGAGGAAAATTCTAAAAGGTGAGAAAGGGAAGAACAAAAAAAATGTTTTTTCATCACTCATCCTAGCCCAGCTAAGACTCCCAATCTTAATGAATGCGATCACGTCAGGTTCCTAATAGATTGACTGAAACTCTCGGATCTTTCTAATCCTCCATCCCACAGCAACTCTCAATGGATCAATAACACGTCGCAAGATGTTTTGTCACTTTTGGAAATGGTTTATGTTAGTGGGGTGTAGATGAAAACAGGTAGGATTAATGTCTTCTAAAGAGTAAGCTTCCTTTGCCTGCTCAAGAGTCTACTTCGAAAGGTCTTCAATAGTCCAAAGTAGTTCCAATTCGCAGTGGACAATCTTTTTCTTATATCCGCTGACATGCATTCAAAGCTGTTATCTGGGATCCAAGGTAACTGAATTTCTTTATCCTTTCAAATGTGCTTGAGATAATAACAAACTCCGGATCTCCTCCATAAGTAGAAATACTTAGTTTGGCTTCATTAACAAGCCCAGTGGTTGAAGAAGCCTTAATAAGGTCAAGGATTGCTTATTTTTGGTTTGGTCGAGACCTTACAACTATATCTTGGTTGTATTCCGAAGTCTCTTGACAGTCTCTTTTCCATATCATTGTTAGCTTCACAAGGTCAATGAAATTATTTGGGATATTCATCTCCGACAGTACCTCATACAGATTTGCTCGCTTTATGCTGTCATTAGCATTTTTGAAGTCAATGAAGTAGTGGAGAGTTGGCAGATTACGCCCAGAATGTCTTTCCAAATTGTCTTCAACGTATATACTTGGCCGATAGTTGATTTGTCCTACCAGAAACCAATATGATATCTTTGTATCTCTAGCATGGCGATTGAAATAATTGGTTGAAGAGGATGTTGGATAGCACTTTTAATGCACATGATAAGATTGAAATCTCACGATAGTTCATCGTATAGTAGTACCAATAAAAGAATAAAAATATAAAAGAATAAAAACGCGATAGTAAGGGATAGTAAATCCATTTTTTTATGTTCGAAGATCGAACGGGATGTTAGTCCGTTGGCCAGACCTCCCCTACCATGCACCATTCCCGCATCCCTATAAATTGCGTATCGTTGTGTTCCTTGTAACCATTTATTAAAAAAAAAGCCAATGTTCCCACAAAAAAAGTGAACGAACTGCCACAATATAGCTTCCAAACATTTTGACGACTTTGACTTTAGTTAGTTTTTTGGTCACTGAGAATCAGCATTTGGCTTAATTTCGTAATAGTTGGTCTTTTATTAAAGCTGGATAGTCAGACAATAAGAAAACATGACAAAATATTAAAACATAATTGGTTTAGACAATAAAAAATAACAGTAAAGTCAATTTTTTCAACAAAAAAATGTTCAAGTTGAAGATCAAGCATCGTTTGTAATTAAACGGCCAACAATAACGCAAAACGTGGTGAAATAACACACCTGGGAAATATATTACTCTTTCTAAAATATTGATTACTTTTTAAAATATTTGAAGCAATTCCGTAGAAAATGTATTTAAGCGGCGGAACAATAGTACTGGCGTAGGTGCCGACAGCACTCTACCACACCATTCCGTACTCATAAATGGCTTAGTTATAGTGCTATAATGACCTTTTTGGTACATTACATTGATTGTATTAACTAACTAATATTAATGCAATAATTCAATCGTCAAAAAAATTTAAAATGTTTTTTTTAATTTAATTTTTTAAAATTTAATTTTCTTTATTGTATATGGAGGTTGTTTAAGAAGTCCTCTATTGTAATAATAAAACTTAATTACAAAACGGTAAGGGGGTCTAGCTCACCGTGTATGTGGTCTTGAAGACCACATCTCGCGGTCAAAGGCCTACAAGGTCTGTAGCGCCAACCGGAAAAAAAGGATATATATATATATATATATATATATATATATATATAACAAATATTTTTGTATTCATAATGTGTGTGTGTAATGCGTCAATCGTTAAATTTTTCAAAATTAGGAATACAAATAAAGTTCTATCTCTCTGTACATATCTCCTTTGCTTCGTTGAACACTCGTTTCTTAGTAACTGAGCCATTTGAGAAGGTGTATAATCTTCAAATTATTTGTGGCTAGATATTGTTAAGAGGTTGACTTCATTTTGGCAACCTCAATCATGAGTTATGAGGCATTTGTTAGTAATCTGTAAATATAATCACTATCACTGTACGTTTAATTTTATAGTAGATTTTTACAGAAATCAATTATGTCTAAATTACAAAAACGATGACAATGACCAGTAACACTGAGATATCTTTGAAAAATTTCTTTATCTACCATGTTTCCTTTGGACAAACGGAAGGTCATGTAAGTTTATGGAAATGATGCTATTTTTATAATAAAAATCCTAAGGAAAACTATTAATAAAAGATTTTACTTCATTAAGGAAGAAGAAAAAGTTCTATATTTTCACCCTAGAGGAACAAAAATGGACATACAGATGAAAGAAGTTGGTTTAAGTGAAGCTATAGTGAAGTTCACCGAGTAATGCCGTTTTCCTATCAGTATTAAATTGAGATTGCTAAAACATCTATATGGGTTGTATGATGTTTGATGTTCACTATTGAACTATGTTATGATCTGTTATAAATTTATGTGAAGTGCTCATTAAACAATTTATTTAATTTTTTTCATTATCAAATAAATAGTACTCATTTGAAAAATTGTCTGTTTACATTTATTTATTGTTTTCATTTTATTTTTAGGACATTTTCCAGTGATTTATGTGATACATTACAAACTCAGAAAACAAAGAAATTTTTTTTTAAGCCTGAGGAGAATATTTGGATTATCATGGTATATAGTTTTGGTTAAACTAAATTAAGAGTCACGTTTGGATGCCAGGTGGGGCATGATCAATTGATCAAATTTTATATGGAATGACAAAGCTAGTCCAGTGCATATTTCTTTAAACAAATTAGGCTAGGGCATATTTTCAATGAAAACAAGCCAGACCAAATGAATTGTCCTGGATATATAGATTCAATTTATTTTAAGGTAAATATATTTCAGTGTGACATTGGGTTGGCAGGTGTGCCAATATCACATGTTCATATTGTTTTTGGGAAGGCAAAACTAGTAGAATACATGTTTTCTGACTGATAAGATTAGATTACAGTGTATTCATAAACAACTAAATATTTTGACTTTTTGATATAAATACAATTTAGTACAAGAATTTAATTATTGTCTTCTTTCTCTTCCTCCAATTCGTGCATTTTAGCGTGTAGTTGCCTTGATTCATGAATTTCTGTTTCTGCCCTAAATTAGAGGTGTCATATCCCTTATTAGCATATAATTTTTTCTACCTGATCTTGGAGGTATAGCCTATCCATGATATCCTAAGCATTCATGTGACATACATACCCAAACCATCTCAATTGCCTCTTTTCATGGAATCCTATAGTGAGTCAGTGCCTAGTTTCACTCTTATCTTTTCATTCCTGGTCTGATCTCACCTGGTTTGGCCAGCTACCCTTATAAGATATTTCATTTAACCAGCATAAACTCAGCTTTGGTGTTTGGTTTAAGGGACACAGCATTCAATCCCATACATAAGGATAGGTAGATATACAGCTTTAAAAATATGGATTTCTGAGTTCTTGTCGCCCTTTCTCTCTAGTTCATCTTAACATTCACTTGCTATAGATTTTCCTTTGAGTCTGACTTGAGAACGATGTCTTCTGCAAAGAATATCACTTGAGTCAAAATCACCCTCGTTTTCCACTTCCCTACAAGTGTTCACGCTGTTTGTCATTTACATATCTTCAAAATTTCATCCATACAGGTGATAAACAGTTGGGGGCTCAAACTGTTCTGATTTTAATTATTGAAATAACTAAATAGGTACTAGTTCACCTGAGTTCCACATGGATTAGGTGTGGTTCATAATCACTTTTGTCACACTTGTTTACCTAATGACCAAAACAGTTGAATGTTGCCGAATATTATGACATCATATGTCCCAACCACCCATTCCCTTTTGACATATTCGTGAAAACCCACGTATTTCCATTATATAACTTCATTATTAACGAATTATTTATTTCCAATTTATGATTATATCCAAAAATTATTATTTTTATAATGGTAATTACTCTGAAATTAAAATAAAAGAAATATATGTTTGAGTGGTTCTTGAAGACCAGTTGAAAAAAAAAAAAAAATGCTCTTGGGAATAAAATTTGTATTGGCAAGTGCTTAGATGTAATAGTTTTGGCAAAATGGCCTATAAGCCAATAGTTCCCACTTGTCGAACTACAACTCCCCTGAACATGCAGTACCTATAATTTAAAAAGAGTACTTATTGTGATTGCTTAAATATTTAGCTTAGATCATTCACATAAACAAATATGAGCCAATGAACCCAAAAACTATTTTTATATTTTAGGAGTGGGTGTCAGCACAAAAAAAAAGTTATTTGTTAACCTTCTGCCTGAATACAAAACTTCTCTACCTCTTGTAATGAGCATGCAAAAACAAATACACCAGAATATGTTTAATTCATTTGTTACAAATCTACTCTATAAGCACCCAGACACCAAATAGTAAAATATAATTTGAAATTTGTATGGACAGTGGAGAATTCGCACCAATAAAGAGTTGTGCGAGATGTAGCGAGGCCCGGATTTGGTCTTAATTGTGAAGGGCAACCATGTCAGATGGTTGGACCATGTGGCTTTTTTGCCTCGAAATGCAATTCCCAAATATGTGCTCAACGAACAATCTGATTAAAAACTTGGAAGAAGGATGTCCTGTGAGACCCACTAATCAGGCAAGACCCATGTCCCGTTTAATTTTGCCTGGAGGATGGGGAAGAACTTCCTGAGGGTAGACCCTTTCAGGGCTTGTCACCCACTGTCTGTTCTACTCTTCAATGGACTCCTTCCTGATAATCCTTTTCCAATGGTTTGGATTCTCACAGATTCTCTCACCCCCATCCTTATCAGGCCATTCAGTGACAGGGTCATCCTACTCTGCCGATGTTCAATCTAGGGAGAAACGTTGAACTTTGTCTTAAACCTCACGCCTAGATAGATAACCTCCTCACCCAGGCAGACTCTCTCTCCTCCAACTCTGAGGCTGATAGGGTGAACCCTATCTGTGGAGCCTTTCAGCAACATGGCCTGAGTCTTTGCCACCGCCATTTTCATTCTCTTTTTTCCATGTCGTCCTTCCTTACTGAGGTACCCCCTAATGAGGGAGTATAAGTTTCTGGGGGTATCGAACTGCTGGAGGCGCTGAGTCACCATACAATATCAAAGGCAGGAGACATGTCAAACAGGACCATCATTATGTACCTCTCCGCCCTGACATCCACATCCCTATGCAGTTCCATTAGGGCATCTCTGGTGCCGAGCCCTTTCGTAGGGTGACTCGCTGCCCGCAGTACTGGCGACGCACTCTTCACTATGGTGAGCTCCAGGACTTTACTCAAAACAAGGAGGAGGCATAGTGGCCTATATGTCTTTGATAACTCTTTGTTCTTGCCTCCCTCCTTATATAGCAGTTTGAGGTTGGCGTTCTTTCATTGTGTTGGGAAGTACCCCCTGCCCAAACAAGCATTCATTATTTCCAGAATCACTTCTGCTCTGTAGGGGGCAGTATGCATTCCTCTTTAGGATTGCCGCATCGATGGCGTCGAGTCCTGGAGCTCTTCCTATCCTTTGTCTGTCTATCGCCATCCGTAGGCCCCATGGTGGAATAAACTCGGTACCTGGCGGGTATTCTTCCAGTGCGACAACCCTCAACGTGACACCGAATCCGGCGACCATGTTTCTCTGAGACCATGGCTCCTGTACTGCCACTATGTCACAGTGCTGGGCCATCTCTCTCAACTCTTCCACTACCATGAGTCTTCTGCCCACGTTGAGCTGGACCAGCCTTAGCTTATCTATACTTGGTTTTCTGAACCTGCTTCTTTATCTCCTGGAGGTGTACCGAGCAATTCCTGCTCCCTCCATAATGTTTTGTATCCTCATGCCTCTCTACCATTCTGCAGCTCTCGCATTCGGGGGAGGAGAGGAGGGAGGTTATTCTTCTTATTGGGGCATTCCGCCGTCTTATATCCCTCTCCATTTGCATGCAATTGGTTTTTCGCACTTGGCCTTCATATGTCTGTAGGCCAAGCATTTTAGGCAGTGGGGGACATCTATCTACCTGGGATAGTCACAGACATCTAGGGTCCACCACCCTCCTTTAATCTTCTCCCCTCTAACGATTTCTCTTGCTGTGGGGTGAACCTCTATCACCCATTTCTTAAGGTCACACCTGTCAGCCGTTGAAAAACAAGGCCTGACCCACTCCCTGCTCCTCTCTTGGCCAGATCTCTTCAGGCCTCCCTGGTCTAATTTTTCCCACATGACCCTATCTAGAGTACTTTCATCCCAATCCTTGGGGGCTCCTTTCACCTCTAGTTTTGACCTCTTCGTTATGGCCGGTCTAGCCACAAGGCCCTTCTCTCCCATATTCTTCCACTTAATTAGCTTCATTGCCTGGTCAGAACTTTTAACCAGGACTGCCTTGGCAGCATGGGTAACTTTTAATACTTCTACCTCCACTCCTGCTCCCTTCAGCTCACTTCACTTTTTTGAGGTCTGCTACTATCTCTTTGGATATTTCCTTTTTTTTTTTTACAGGATATTTATGTTGTAGAGGAGTGGGGTAACTCAGTTGGTCAGACACTGACTTCCAGAGCTCGAGGTCCCAGATTCGAATCCTAATGCTGGCGGATAAATTATTTATTCTGTTTCATCGGCTTTTGATTGACACTGGAGTCGAGAGACATTTGAACATGTTTCCTCCTAAGGTACACCCAGTCTCTATGAAGTGGGTACTCTTAATTAATTAATTAAGGAGGAAAACAAGTTGAGCATGATCTCAGCTAATTCACCTCCTTGCACAGCCGTTGACCAAGAAACAGTTCTTCCCAACATAATACTGAACCCAAGACCCTTCATGGTTTATAGTGATACAGGTTTTTTATTTATGTCATATGTATATAATTTTTCTTATTTTCTACTCTTTTTGTTTTATATAGTTTGGCAAGTGAACAACTCGTATATTAATGAAAAAGTTTGGAGATCTGTCATCTCCATATACTTTGGGCCACACTTGGCTAGTTCTAGCATTACATGTATTATATGATCAAGTGTTCTTTGCCCACCTTTCAATCAAATGTGATGCTACTGTAGTTTTACTATAATTTTTGTGAACTTGCTATTAAATATTTTCTATAAACTTTCTTAAACTAGTGTTAGTAATACTTCACATCAGCAACTTTTGTCATATTAAAAATAACTTATTTACGATCAATATAACTTACTATTGTTTGTTTGTTGTTTAAAGGTGTAAAACCCCTTCAAGGCCTGCTCTTGCTATTCTTATTTTGATAGTACCAGTATACCTTAGTGATAACTTTCACAATAGATATCCTTTCTCCTAATGCATTTGACGCATAGATCGCCATAATCATAATCAATGATTATATGACTAATGAAGTAATTTTGATCATGTGATTACAACTACAATGATTTTTATTATGTGATTACATTATTACAATGATTTTATCACATCATTACATGATTACAACATAATTGGTTTCTGATTACAATCTTAATCGTGTCATATTTTTACTATATTTATAGTACTATTGTATCAAGTTTAAATTGATATGGTCAATAAGTTCTATTTTCAGTTTTAATCATGCAATCATTAATTCAGATTTTGCCCATTTCTGATTTGACATATATTTTATGGTAGATATCTTATAATGGCACTTAACGACATCTATTTTCAGTTCAACAGAACGGAATTCTTCTTCTGAATCCTGCTTAATGGTTCCTATTTTTTTTAAAGGATATTAGTGATTATCTTGTAGGCAACAGGAACAAGTGCTATGCCTCCGTAGTTATTATACACATGCATGGAGCCCTTCTTTAGGATGGAGAATATTAGGCCCATGGTCCAAACATGTGGTATCCTCTCCCCTGTGTGTTTATTGTAGCAGCTTGGCTCGTAGTTCTTCTCCACAATCTTTAAACAGCTCTGGTGGTATATTGTCGATCCCTTGGGATTTTCTTCATTTAAAGCTTCCTATAGCTATTACCTCATACAAGAAATCTAGTTTTTCAACTTCGAATGGGTCTAGATCCTCAATGTGGTCCATGTCTTCTTTGTTTGTGGACTGTCCTTGATTAGGCAGCTGCTGGAAATGTTTTTTCAGATGCTTAGGATCTTTTCTTTTGATATTGTCAATTTGTCATATCTTCCTCGCATTTGCATATTTCTCTGTTTATATCCTTCCCATTCTTTCCTGATATCTATGGATCAGGGCCTATATCTCAATAGTTTGCAGTCTTTCTTTGAGGATTCAATTTTTACTATTATCATTTTGTTAGTCTTTTTCCCGGTGGCTGTGTATTTGTCTAACCATACCAATACATTTTTGCGTTCACTTAAACCTATTTAGCCACTCCTGTCCTCTGAGCATATTACATTAATTATGTCCTCTGGGAATTGATAATGTAAATAGCATTATTTATAAATTTAAGTAATGATATCCTATTTTTCAGTATCAATTCACCATGATGTGTAAAGTCTAAAAATAAATAAATGGATGTATAAAAATTTAAATCAATTTAGTTTTAATTTAGCTATAAAATATTAAATTGTAGACTGTGAATCTTCCAACTTGCCTTGTGGGAAAGGAGAAGTTAGATGGAATTGAATATTTGCCAAACGAAGTACAGAATCCTGTTTTTTTAGCTGTATTAAGGCAGGCTTATTTGGCTGCTAAGTTGTTTCTGGGACCATTTCAGAGGCTAATAGATAAAGAAAATGGATCTCCTGATCTACTGAAGAAAAAATTGGATTTCTTTTTTACTAAGGTATTATTATCATGTATGATTATAATATTTAATTTAACAGTTGGTTTTGTAAACAAAATATAATATTTTATGAAATTAGGTTATAATTGGAAAAATCCAATTATCTGCTGCTATTGGATATTATGGAGTGATGTGATCTTGGGGTTGTCTTTGTTTTTTCGGTCTTAATGATTTCTAAATTGGTGAAGAATTTACAGAATGTTTTGTTCTTTACCTGGATTTTAGAGGCAAGGCTGTGTGGTTCAATTTTTCCAATTCTAACTTAACTTCATTTTTCTGTCTACTAGTGAGTTATATTTTTTTAATGAAATATTTTTTGTTTATTTTAGTACCTCCTCACCCTCAATTTGAAGAAATGTGATATTATTGATTTATTTCAAGGAGTCCAATTTCTTCCTCTAGACAAGCCCACATTTCTTCATGCTCATTGTTTTGTTAATTTAGTAGAAGCTAATTTTCCTGTTGTACAATATTCTGTTTTATTGTTCAATGAACAACTTGTGTGGTAAGTACTGAAGTTTTGAAATTTTATAAGTTTTAATACTAATATACATTTCAAATCAATTTATTAAATACTTAAATATTATATTTAGTATAATAAATACAGGACGGTGTTGATAATTAGAACAGGTAGATTGCATGGCCTGTTCGAATAATCAAAGATTAAATTTAAAATGATGGAAAAATTACACTAGGTAACGAAAATATTGTCGGTTACACATAAACACATTGCAAACTAAATCATTATTTCTGAAAATGATCCTATAACGTACATTGAGCCTCTGATTTTGTTGCTAAATAAATCAGAAATTTCCTGAATTCCCTACAGCACACACTATATATTTTTTTCTTACTTGTTCGGATTATCAGAGGTTAAGATTTTTTTTAGACTGTCATGTACAGTTGAAGTTCAATATAATGAATGTATTTGGTGATGTGGAAAATTTTTCTTATTTGTATGCTCCAAGAAGTTTTTGTTCTGACTTTTTTAAGAAAGAATGTATCCAAGGCTTTATTCAATATTTCATTTTATTTTTTTTATTGAGTAACAGGCTGTGATTTAATAGCCTGTACTAAAATAAATATTTGATTGTAATTATTGACTTTATTTTCATTGTAACTTTCAGTACTCGAAAATGAATCATAATTAGTTTTCTTAGTAATTTTCATCTTCGTAGAATTTAGTAATGAATTTTTCTTTATTCCCTTTTTCCCCTTACCTACCTTTTCCCAATAGTTTGGGGTTAGTGCAAGATGTTGATTTTTTTAGATAATGGAGACAAAAAGTTAGTGTGCTAATATTTGGTTTGACATGTAATTTTTATTGTTCATTTTCCATGGTGGTCATCAATATATCAATAAATATTTTGACAAAAGATTTTTGACTAAAGACTAAAGAAACTGTTATGATTTGGTCTATTATATTAATAACTTTTATTCTATAATAAACATTTTTCCTGAAAAATATTGTTTCTTAATATATATTGTTTATATTAAAACAATAAAATATTGTTTCTTATACTTTATTTTAATTATTATTTCAATATTTATGAACACTTTAAACAAAATAAAAGTAATAATAATGTACATGTATATCTCCATTATATTTCAATACAACAATAGGGGTAGTACAGGACTTCTGTATTTTTATTTTTATTTTTTTTATTATTTTTTTTTTTTATCTTTTATTTTTTTTCTTTCATCGGCCCAAGACTTCTGTGGGAGTCTTGGGCCGATGAAAGAAAAAAAAAAATTAAAATAAGCTTTAGTATTTTTTAATTTTTCTTTTTTTGTTATGATAGTAAAATGTGAAATATCTAAGTTTTTTAATTAATAAGATATTAACATCTTCAGGTCTGGTTTACCTGCTGAAGATGCTCAAGTTGTATATAGGTACCTCGTCAACAGTTTGTTACCATGCCATTCAAATTCTTCCCCAGATGGAAAACGTTCAACAGCCAAGTCTAATAGGTATTTATCAACTGTTTATCTATTGGATTCTTATTTTAAAACTTGATTATAGAAATCTTAATCTCCCAATTTTTAATAAAAAATGGTTATTGTGGAGTGGTAAAAAGCTGTAAGACTCATTTTAAAAATTGGTTGTTGAATTTCTCACTATTTTGAGATGTATCTTGACAAAGGGCCATGTCTATTTCATGATTTTTTTTTTTTTTTTTTTTTTTTCGGTTGGCGCTACAGATCATGATGATCTTTGACGGGTCTCCTAGACCACATTCTGATTCCCGATTTAAAGTACGGGGTACTACGCCAGGTCGGTGTGAGTTGCCTCCAGTATCTTGACGGGCTCACATACGAGGGGGGAGGGAGAGGAGGAATCTCGGGCTGTGTGGCTTTCCTTGATGTGGACGGGTCACCCATCCAAGTGCTAACCATGCTCGGCGTTGCTTAACTTTGATTACCTATTGAAAGCGCCTTGGCCCGTATGGCTACCCCAGCCCCATTTCATGAAATTAGAATATTAATTCATTATGTCATGATATACCACCAACACACTTTTTAGGTTTGTAACTGGTCCTGAAAATCTGACTGACATTAACATCACTTTCTCTAACAAAGTGCCTCGAGTTTTTCTTTCTCACGTACCGCATCCTGGATTTTTTAATCTTGTTGTCTACAGGATCCACGAAACAACATTGAGTCTTCTGATTCCAGGTAAGTAATCTAGTTTGGGCGATATAATAATGATTTCTTATTAAATTAAAAGTTTTTTAGATTATTAAGAAAAATAAATAAATATAATTTTGTAAATACATATTTTAATATAATTAAAAATAATATTTAAAAAGTAACTTGTTTGCTTCTTATTTTGAGTAAAAATTTTATTTTTGTTTTAGACATATTTATCCTTAGAATAATAGACTTTATCACTATATTTAAGTTCATCAGAGGAATCATGGATGTACATTTTAGAACTTCAAGAATACAATTATCAGGGTTTCGGAGATGTGATATATATATATATTTTTATATTTCCTTGACTGTTATATAGTCGATGATATACATTTTTTACGGATGTTTAGGTTCAGTAAATCAGTATACAATTATATTTTTGTGACGTTTCAAGACTTATAGTTCTCATATTCATGCTAATTGTTGAAAATTACAAATCATTTCATTGAGCACCTGACAATTGCTGAATTAAAACTTATATACAATCAAAATTTTCATAGTTCTAATAATGCTGATTGAGCATCGGAGGAAGATGGTGATGATGATTGTGATTAGTTAATCCTCTTCCTCATATTTTTTTAAACAACACTTATTTCTTCATAATCAAACAACCATATCAAGTGAAACAATATTTGTTTCTACAATTTTACCTCTTTGTTGTTTCAACATATTTTATTTTACCTTCTAATTTCTATGATTACTTTCAATTTTTATTGTTTCGTGAATATTATCAGCTTATAATATCAACAGGTATAATAATTACCACTCGTAGATAATTGAAGTATTTTTCTTTTTCCTTTTGCTTTACAGACCATGTTTATCTTTTGCCTTAACAAACCTTTTCTATTTCTGCCTATCTTGGGTTATTTCTATCCAGTTATCTGGATACCACTCTATTTGAGCTAGGTTGATTCAGTCTATCCATCTGTTTTTGGCATTCTATGTGGTCTTTTGCCTACTGTTAACACATTCATGGCTGTATAGAGGCTTCCTGATGATGGATTGCTGCAACCTAGATCCCTTGGGCATCTTAACCTTCTGGCCATTAGAAAGAGTCCCTTTAGAATAACAAAATTGTACAAAAAGAAAACACTACTTCTGATCTAAAAATTTGAAATAATAAATAAAAAGTAAAGAAAACTTTAAGTGAACAAGCTATATACAAAACAAATAAGACTATGTACAGAACACTTTATATAATGAACAAAACACTTAAAATCGAGAAGAAAACATTTAAAACTATAAATAATTGTAGAACAGCATAAATATACAATTCAAGAAAAGAAGAAGGAAAAAATGACAAAATAAATTAAATTCTTCTCATAAATAAGCTCTGTTTCTATAGAAAAAATGAAAGCTGTATCTGTCAATATAAACCTAATTTACATAAATGCTGGATAATATATAAATATATCTATTATGGAAGATACGTGTAAGTTTAATTGTATATCAGAAAAAATAGTACTAATAATTAAAAAAAAGAAGTAGATGTATTGAGTGGTGTCAAAAGTAAGAAATTCATGTAATATCTGTAGCAAAGAACAGTAGTATCATATGATGATAATTGATATGAAATACGTGTCAATAATTAACAGATATCTGCATTTATATCATGAGATATTGATAGTGGTCCTTCTTCATCTGGTAGAACTCTGATTCCTGATCCGGTTGTGTCTCTGGTAATTGTGCAGAGGATTTTTCTATTAAATCTTTCAATTATTCTTTTTGGAGTACGGGTTAATGTCCAGGTGTCTATACACAACTGGCTTTATCGTAGTATTATACGCACACTTAATTTGAGATTTCTGGAGATGTTTTAGAATTTCAATACCTTTAACAGAATTGTTCATAAAGAAAATTATAAGATATCATAATAAATCTGTACACCCAGTGTTGTAAATAATTCATTGAAGGTCTCATAGATATTGCTGAGAGCGTTCCTCACAGCTGGCTGGCAGTGAATCATTACGCAGTCAGCCTGTACAGTGCATCCTTTTTTTTTTTTTTTTTTTTATAATTTTTTTTTATGGTCTATGTTTTGGTAAAATGTATTGAACCATTCCTTAAATTACAAAGGATAGGGCTTATTAAAAAAAAAAAAAAACCCGTACCACTACAACCCTTGAAGGGTCTGGGGTTCAGTACTATTTAGGGAAAGCATTGTTTCTAGGTCAACGGTTGTGTAAGGACGTGATTTGACCGAGATCACGCTCAACCGTCCGGTTTTCCCCCTTAATTAAGTGTACCCACTTTATAGAGGCTGGGTGTGCCCCAGGAGGGACTCCTGACCCAAGGTCGCTCCACGGCCAATGAAACAGATAAATAAATTTTCTGCCGTGAGCCGGGGTTCGAACTCGGGACCTTATTAAAATATATCAAAAAGGGCTTATTAAAATATATCACAATAAATTACATAATATGTGAACATAACTAACTAACTCCATGGCGCTACAGACGGGTATGGTCCTTGGCCGCCTCAATGAGCCCTCGCCAGATATCTCTATCTTGCGCTGTCGTTCGCCAGTTGCGGGTATGCAATATTTCTCTGGCGTCCTTCCATCTTAGACCTGTTCTGCCTCTCCAGCAACTTCCTTGGGACTTCCTCTTCTGATGGCATATTCTATTTCCACAGCTTACAGTAGCTCCCAGATAGGTAAACTGGTCTACATTGTGGAACATAAGGGCCCATAACCACCGGTACTCGTACTGCGGTCTCGGTTTCAGGTCCTGCTAGATTATACATCGTCTTTTCCTGGTTTACACTCATTTCCAAAGCTTCTGCCGCTTCAGCCAACCTTAAAAATGCACTTTTAAGAGACTTGATGGGTCATCATCCTGTACTCTTGAGACTTTTTCAGTATCATATGGAGGCTAAACATCTGATAAACTGTAGATCTTCCTCCTCTGAGCCCCGCCTGATACTTACCAATCTCTCTCTCAGCAAAAAGGAGTAGTTTGCAGTAGATGATGCTTGAGAGGATCTTATATGCACACTGAAGAACTGAGAATAAGCGGTAATTGGAGCAGTCAAGGATATTACCCTTCTTGTGTTGTGGATAAATTATTCCCTTCTTCCACTGATCTGGCCTGGCATTTTCTCTTCAATCCAGATGGTGAGGATGATGTCGTAGAGAGCTCTCTGGAATTCCTCGCCACCATGCTTGAGAAGCTCAGAAGGAATTCTATCTTCTCCTCGGGCTTTGTTGTCGTTCAGCCTGTTGACTGCTTCAAGAACACCCTCACATGTCGGTGGGCCTGGGGAGTCCAGGTCATGTTCAGCACTTGGGATTATGAAATATCCGGTCCATCTGCAGCCTCGTTTAGAAGTGCATCAAAGTGATGACACCATCGGGCCAAAATCTGCTCCTTCTCTGTGATCATGGAGCCGTCTTCGTTTCGACATAATCGGACCCTTGGTTTGAATGATGTCCTTCTCTCATTCACCGATTTGTAGAATGCCCTTGATTTATTCTGCTCCTCCAGCTGTCGCCTTTTCCATTCTCTCCTCTTTTGTCTGTAGTCTCTTCTCCTCCGTCCTTCTGCCTCCTGTGTGGCCCTTCTTATGTGCCGCTTCTGAAGCATGTTTTTGTAGGCTTTATTTTTTACATTCGTAGCAACTGCACACTCTGCATCAAACCACTGGAACCTTACTGCTCGTTCCTCTATCCCTACAACTTCCTTTGCTGTTTCTTTAACGATTCGGGTTAGGGTGTTCCACTGTTCTTCTGCAGAGTCCTCCGACAAGCCTGTTACCCTTTCATCCAACATTCGGCAGTAGCGTTCATTGACCTCTGGATCCTTAAGCTTGGATGTCGCTATTCTTTCTACCTTCTTTCCCCTGGTTTTTCTTGCATTGGATATCCTGGCTCTGATCCTAGATATCACCAGATAGTGGTCAGTATCCATGTTTGCTCCTCTATAGGATCTGCAACTTAAAAGATTGGATCTGTGTCTCCTACTGACCAGGATGTGATATATTTGGTTCACAGTACTTTCATCAGGAGACCGCCATGTTCCTTTATGGATGTTTTTGTCAGGGAAGAGCGTGCTGCTGACAACCAGGAATATGTGAACATACATTTTATATATATACAAAGAGTTATGACAATGAAAGAATATTAATTTTTTTTTAACAACTCTTCACATTACAGTAATGGAAAGAACCCTATTAGAATAAATTAGTATGGATCCCTTAAAAGTTTCAATGCCTGTATTCATCACATAAGAGGTTCATGATCCAGTGCATTAATATAACTTACTCTACACTATCACTGATTCTTATCTATATGTTTATTGTTGTACCTTAGAAATATAATTAGTACCATTTTTCAGATATAAATTTCTTATTTTTCTAGCTATTATATGTATGTTCTATTTTCCATGATGAATGTTAACATTCCTGTCAATATTGGATTTTGTGTAGGAAATGAAACTGTGAGGCTGGACTTCTACAGGCGTCTGGATAGTTTTCTGTATAAGCGTCTAGAAAAAATTGACTGTGAGTTAAATGAGTACAAAGAACAGCCTAGTAGTAGTGGACCATCTAATGCCTCTGATACTTTAGACCAAGACATAAGGTTGTTTTATTTGTTTAGTAATGTTTGATCTATTTATATCATATATTGAGCCACAGTATTCCACATCGTTGATTTATTGCAAAAAGTCATTAAATGGCATTTCATTACCTTAAATTACTAACAACTATGATGAATTTTCCATTAGTGAAATCAGGAAATTATGCACTTGTTAAATTTTTATTTGATGTACAGGTTGTTTCAGGGTTAAGTGGCCAGAAGGCAAAAATGAACTAAGGATCTCAAAACAAGAAAAACACTGTTGACACTTTGTTTAAGAGATATTCACACCTAAAGATTTTCGTTTTTATGATTTATTTATGTTATATGAAATAAATAAAACCATATTTTATTTGTTCTAACTACTTTATAAATTAAATTTAAACATTAACATTCATATTAAATGTTGATCAAAGTGATTTCCTTGAGCATTAAGACAGGCTCGGCATCTTTCTTCAACAGCAGCAGTGGCAGAACGGCACTGGATATGTGTTATTGTTTCACAAGATTCAATTATCCTTCTTTGTAAGGAATTAAGTTCATTGACCGGACTTGCTCAATCATATCCCAATCAATGGATTGGCCGTGCAAAACCAGTGGCTTGGCCTGCACGCTCTCCAGACCTGACACCTCTGGATTTTTTTGTTTGGGGTGACATTACACAAAAAGTCCTATGCAAGTCCAGTCAATGACCTTAATAATTAAATCTTGTGAAACAATAACACATATCCAGTGCCGTTCTGCCACTGCTGCTGTTGAAGAAAGATACCGAGCCTGTCTTAATGCTCATGAATGTTATGTTTACATTTAATTAATTAAGTAGTTAGAACAAATAAATAGGTTTTATTTATTTCATATAACTTAAATGATTCATAACAACGAAAATCTTTAGGATTCAATATCTCCTAAACAAAGCGTTTGCGGACATACCTTCACAGGAAATTTTTTTCTTTTTTTGAGGTCCTTAGTTCATTTTTGTCCACTTAATGTGAATTTTTATTGATGATTAAGATTGAAATTCAAAAATGTTCTTCATAAAAAGTTCTCTCCGTCAATAATATACTTGTTACTTTTTGCAATAAACTTATGATACTTAGGATATATTTTTATGGAGCGTTTAGGAAAACTATTTTTAGTGTTAATGTTTATTTTTATAATACAACAATAACATTGACCATCAAAAATAAAAGATTTTTGCTCAAAAATAGCTTATATTAATGTATTTTTACCCTTCTCGACATGAGCACATAAAAATCACCTTGAAAAAATTAAACTTGTAATCGTTACTGAGATAAGTTCTACTGAGACTATTGAAGTAGTAATGTTTGGTTAGCAGAAAATTTTAGTTCTGGAAGTACCATTATTCAACAAAATAAATGACCAGAAAGTCTGGTGAAAAAAATGAGACTTTGGTTGATCTGAAAATTTCTTCATCCTCTCTTACACTTCAAGCTGGGAGTAATGATGAACTTTATTAAAAATATAGATCAGGAAGGAGCTCTCAAGATCTTGAGAGGGAAATTCCACAGATTAAGGGCCAGTTGCTCCAACAGAGTAAAGCTTAGATTAAGCGTTATCTATGATTAGACCAAGTTTCATCCGTTGCTCAAACGAAGCTCAGCTTCGCAATCGAGTTTAATCTTGATTGGTCAACCATGGCCGCTTAAGCTTTACTTTGATGTTAAATCTTAGTTACCTAGGGTTATCCTTGGCAACTATAGTAACCTTCCACTGTGTTTTTACTGTATCGATTGTGTTAATCATTTTTATTTATCTTTTCTCTTGCAGAAAGAGAATGCTAAATTTTTACGACTTCACAAATTATGAGGATTTTCTCAATTTAATTGCATTTTTACTAATGGAAAAAAAAAATATGCCCAAAGCTCAACTCTTTATGTCCAAATAGGTCTTATTATAGTCATGTATATGAGCTTTTTTTAATTAATTGGAAATTTCGAGTGTTCATCTAGTAAGAGCTGAGATAGCCAGAAAGGTCGAGAGGTTTCTTGTTGTTTCAATCTGGTATGAGGATTAAAAGAAAACAATTTTTTAATTTAATTGAAGGAAGTTAATCGACTGTACTGCATATCACAGGAGATAAATAATCAGGAAGCAGTCATTTTTGAGATTTTTTTATTGTTGCTGATGTTTTAAACCAAACATGTTTTGATGATGACCCACATGTTTGGGATGAAACGTTGGCAACAATAAAAAATTTCAGAAATGACTGCTTCTTGATTATTTGTCTTCTGTGATATGTAGTACAGTCAACTAACTTCCTTTAATGAAATTGAAATAGCTTTTTTTGATTTTATTAATTGGTCTCAACTATAATACTGAAAATGTATTTTTAAAAATTAATATGAAAAAGGTCTTCAACATTTTCTTTATTTAATTCCAAGTACTTATTGGATAATATACATAATATTTAATTTATTAATTATTTTATGGCATTATCTTATATTGTTTTGCTATTTGGAAATCATTTATTATGATGGTATGGTTTATATATTGTAAAATTAACCATTTTTTCTATCATCATATCAATTTTTTCTATAGCATGATAATGTGCAGTGATAAAATCTTTAAGTGTAGGCTTTTAGGACTTATTATTATTCTCATTTATTTAGATTGGGTAATATCTAGAGAAAGTAAATTACAGTCAATATTCTTAGGATTAATTATTAATAAATAATTATTTAATTACTGATAAATTACAATTAATATTTTAAAGAAGATATCAAAACTGGAGGATTAAATTCCAAAAGAATAAAATAAAATAAATTCCAATAAACCCCATCAGTTCATCTCTACATCTTTTGTCATTAACCTACAACTTCCTTTCTTATGGCATCTTTTAATAATATTATACTTAGCCCCGTTAAGTCTTTCTTTTGTCCTCCCCTTCGTTGTCTTTTAGATTATACAGAGTTTTCACGGGTCAGAGGGTAAAGGCGGGGGATTAATGGTAGAGTTAAAAGCCCCACTATAGTCCCACTTAAAATTAGATCTATGCATAACAATGTTTGTACCACTCTAAAATTTTGAAAATCTGATCACTTATACCTCCAATATTGGATGTAAACAATCGAACTTGGTCTTGTATTTTTGCACAATAAGAGTAATATGCACTTTTAACATAAAATTGGTCCTTTGGGATAAAAAATGTGAAATTTTTAAGGATTTTCAAAATGACTCAGAGGTGTGTAGATGTCAATAACTTGGATTAATCATCAGCCTTACATTACATAAAACATCAGAAATTCATAATTACTTCATTTGATTCAAGACATCTCTCTTTTTTATGACAATTTTGCTATTTTTGTTCAAAGGTCTTTATTAAAAAATTTACATATTCTTCTGTCTTTCAATTTTATTTTTATAAAAAAATTTATTTACAGGTTTGTTTATTTTAACTCAATGAATTTGGCTACAAAATCAATTCTTGATAAAAAAAGAGATCCTGGCGGGCAGACTATACCAAAGGAACTTCTAAGGTTGCTGGTTGATGTTCAGCAACATCAAAAGTGGTAGGAACAATTAGCTGCTTGTTAAGATTTTTAACCATAATCCTACTAATTGTTATTGTTTTTATATACAATTAAAAAAAAAAGTTGTGAGAGTACCTGGCAGAAAATTACATAGGGACACAGAGACCCCTAAACCCAGCACTGAAGATCAACGTCAATAATCGCTAATCCCAATGTCAAACAATTGCCAGGTTTCAAGAAGATTATACAATTGATTAATTTCTAATTAATTAAATGTTGATTGAAAAACATCAGTCAAAAACACAGTTTATTGAACATTTACTCTTCTAAACTTTCCTAAAGTTGCATAATTTGCCAAATACTGTATCCATCTGAGAAATTTAATTCTCTTCTCTGATATTAACAGGTGTTCAAGAGTCTTGTCAAAATGTTAACGTTAGATGAGGGAATTACACCTAATCTCTGGAAATCTTTTTATAGTAATTTTCAATATATAGGAATAATAGTTCAAACATGTCCTATTATAATTTTTAAAACTAAAAAAAAAATCAAAACCCATAAAAGGTCTTGGGTTCACTACTTAGTAAGAAAGTACTATTGTAAATCCAATGGTCGTGTAGAGGTGACCAGGCCAGAATTACGCTCAGCTGGCAGGTTTCTGTTGGTGTGCCCCTGGAGATTCACTTAGGACCTAAGCTTAAAGTGTTTACTCAATAATCTACTCCACTCCATTTTTAAAAGTAAAGAACATGATAATTTATAAAGTTCTAGAATGCTTGCACAATCGAAATGCTATTTGAAAAAAAGTTATAAAAGATGTCTAAGTTGGACTCCTGGAGAGAACTAAATTTTTAAATGTTATATCCACATATTATATTTATTTTTGAAGAATTAACTATTAGAGAAAATGCCTTTGGTATTTAACCTTTTTTTTCATGAAAACAACTGAAACAGAACCTCACTTATGCTCGGGCTATTAACCTAATTTAATTTTTCATCTTTTAATTCCAATTCAATGCCATAAATCCTTAATTTCAGGTTGGCTGAAAGTGGTGATTTATCAAATGAAACTATGGTCAAGACCATTAGTGACCACTGGGTTGTAGGAAAGATGTCAAATAATCGTCAGTTTTATATAGCTGTTGAAAGGAAGAGGGCAAACCTCATTGAAATTAATGGTAAGCATAGTTTTTAAAATAAAAAATTATTTTTTTTTAATTTCTGAAGTTTTTAACAACCTTAATACTTACTAGTCAATTTATTTATATCCCTTAACTTCGATTATTTCCTTAATCTAACTCTTAAATAGAGGCCATCCACACATTTATAGTGTAGATCGATGCTACTTAATTGCATTAGAACATGTCACCTGTCAGTAAAGTAACATTGTACCCAATATAAGCAAAGTGGAATGAATAAGTACACATTTTATAGCAGCGGTAGTCAAAAATGTTTGAAATTATCTTAAAATTATTTTTAAAACTGCCTAATTTAAATGCAGCCTGTAATTGTATAAATGTTCCCCTAGTTATGAGATCAGATGTACTTAAAATATAACTAATTTAAAATAAATTATTTTATTCTATTCATATTGTTCTTGAACAATTTGTGTAACGTAAGTGGTACTTTGTTGAATTATTTTATTTTAAGGATTTTTCAAGGTATTAGTCTAATGGAATGCTTCCTTTTTCATTGCTGAAGTTATCAAAACGGGAGAAAAAATTATTTTTATCCCATCAAACTACTGGTAGTCCACCTTAACTTGTTTATTGAAATATATTCTCTTCTATCTTTCCTATTTTAAAATCCTGGATAATTATTATTATAATGGAAAATTTATCCTGTATTTTTTTTTTTTTTTTTTTTTTTTTTTTGGCCTGACCCATTTCAATATTAAAAATAAAGCATCAACGATCTTTAATAATTTCTGTTTTGGGGGATGGAAATTCTAGGAAAAAGAAATTAATTAGTTAGGCAATTTATTTATTTACTTACTAAAAATAAGTAGTTAAGCAATTTATTTATTTACTTACTAAAAATAAGTAGTTAGGTAATTTATTTATTTACTTAAAATATTAATATATAAAATTTAATTAAAATAAAACTTATTGGATTAGTGAATTACAGGTTATTGAACTATGTTTAAGAATATATTAATTTCTGTTTTACAGATGAAGTGAGGAAGTTATGCGACCAACAGCTGAAGAGTATATTCTTTCATGTGTGATATATTTTTTGGAACAAGATCATTATTTTCAGATCATAAATTCCTTCTAGTGCAATAATTTCTTGCTGTGTTCTTTAACATTCCTATGAAGATTGCTTATTAAGTTTGTTAATAAATTGTATATAGTTTTCTTTTTTTGTTTATAACGTTGTTTGAAGAGAACAGCCATTATACAAGGATAATCTGGATTTTATGCATAATGGTTAATATGTAAAATGTAAAATAAACTAATTAATTATACTTCTAATTGATTTAAACTTATCCGGTTTCCTATTTAAACATATGCAGCTTTATAGTGAATAAATATTCACTTAATTTCATTGCTAAATATGCACTAGACACGTCTAGTTATAAAACCAAAAGTTAGTTTGATCATTTGTAAAAATAAATTAACTTCAAATAATTGAAGGGAGAACACTATAAAAATTAATCACTCTAAATTATAATAAACAACGATATTATTCAAATTATTTTACAGATAAAAAAATATAAGGAAATTTAATATATTTTGTTCTTGTATTTTTGGCTAAACTGTAATGAACCCATTTATTTACTTTTTTTACTCTAATAATATAGCATGAGGAAACAAATGATTTGTCTTTAAAGAATCTATTTGTAATAAAAACTAAATGTTTGAGGAAAAATTAAATATATATATATTCCAACAGTTTTTAGATTTATTTAGATGACCATCACTGTGGCATTTTATTTACAAAAGAAAAAAAAAAGAGAAGAAAAACCAGAAGTTTTAATAGCTATATTTACAAGGAAAATTAGTTATTTATCTCATCAAAAGATAAAATAACATTTAATTAACTTTTCTACATTTTAATAAATTTTTGTTTATTCATAAATGTCATTCCTGTCTCCAACATAACGGACTATATCAGCTGGCCTTAGCAATTTCTCAGCATCCACGTCAGGGATTTCAAAACCTAAAGAAACAGTATAATAATTGTAAAACTTTAATCAATACATATACTATATCACAGATTTAGCTTACAATAAATCATATAGATTAAGCCAATAATAATAATTTTAAGTCTTAATTATTATATAGAATGTTTAAATGAAATGTATAAACGAATGATAGATTCTTAAATTTCTTTTGATTACTGAAAGATAGTAAAACGATTTATTTCCTTTACCCCCGGCTAAATCTGACCTATTGAGGGAGGGGAGAGGTCTTGAGGTACAACCGAGCCTATTTGAAAGAGATTTATTCAGTGGGTCTGCCACAAAATAAATCTTATTAACCTCTTCCCTCCAGACAGAATTGGTACAAGTGTTGCTTAAAAACACTCTGCCACTACAGCCCCCGAAGAATTGTATTAAAATGAAATAAAAAGTTATAATTGGACATACCTACTTCAGATAGGCAATACATCAAATCGTGGAACCAGCCATCGATACTAGTTCTTCATTGTTGAATGTATAATAACCCTTCATCTAATGTTATCACTAGTTGATAAGGAGGAAAAGAAGTTTCATAAAACATTCAATTTTAACATGTACGTTCCTTTCTGGACAAAATGTCCACACTATCCGCAAGAAGAAACAATTGACATATTTTTTTTTCTTCTAGAAAAATTTGGCAAAACATAAATAGATATGAATTTTTATCACATCAATTATTAAATTGATAAGATGATGATATTGGAAACTGTCAGACAAGTATCTAATATTTTTCAACCTAGTAACGCCAAAAAAAAGTTTCATTCAAATCGGTAGTGACACCACGTCTGTGACCTCCTTTTGTCAGATAATCTTTATACCAGAATCAGATAAAAATGCAGAACCAAAATAATGATTATAAATAAACTTTTTAAATCTTCTCTTGTTTGGAAGAACGGACAGACATTGACCTTTTTTGATTAATGATAAAATATAAAGTTTATTTAGAACTTTTCATCTTTGATACAATTTTCATAATTTAAAAACTAATTATAATAAAAAAAAGAAGATAAATATAAATTGTTACCAAATTCATCCTCCATGGCCATAATTACTTCAACATGGTCCAATGAATCCAAACCAAGATCATTGATAAAATGCGATTCAAGGGTTAGCTGAAAAACAAACAGTAAATTTAAAATAAAATAATTAAATATTAATTTCACATCAATTTTACATTTTTAATAAAGTAGTACACTGTACATCTAAAATTATAATGCAATGAGCTAAGCTAAAGCATTTCAGTGATCTTCCTCCACAAGAATAGACCTAAGTTAAAATTTATACAATTAGCAATAATACAATATAAGTCAGTCACTTCAGAGCATAAGTGAACCATCCTACTACATTTATATTTATAAATGAGAAATAAATAACTTGGCATTTTTACAGTCACATGTGATACACTAATGATTAAATATGAAAAAGGAATAAACTTGTGAATAGTATCCAAAAAAAACGGTTAAAACAGATTTTGGAAATAAATATTGACTCAATTGATGACCATCTTAAATAAGTGATGATTTATACATACATAACATATACATGGAAGTTTTTAACAATATTTAAATAAATATGTTAAAACAGAGTAGCAATTCATTTTTCAAGTAATCAAAAATTTAAAAAAACAAGGGAAACAAATCAAGCGATGACAACTGTCCTATGTGTACCAATTTTCAATAAATATTTATTGTTGAAGGTTAATTAAAAAAAAAAATGAAAAAGACTAGAATTTTTAATGCATGTTTGTAAAGAAAAGTTGAAAAATTGGGTAGGGGTGTTAAGTTAAATACCTATGCAAAATACCACAAGCGGCTATCTCAATTCTATAGTTGTTAACTTGGTAAAGTATCATCACCTGCATAACTAACAACCTAGAAATATCTTTATTTTTTTTTCTTTGTAAGTGAGAAAAATATTCAGTTTAAAATTTGTTTATTATCTAGTATAAATAAAAAAAACTAGCCATAAAATTGTGGATAAAGTACACCAAGAGTACCACAGCCGTATCGGTCTGTTCTCTCCACTTCTCCAATCCTCACTAAACCTCCCTGACACATTTTTTATTAGCTTAACATGAACCTTTTAATTGTTTAAAAAAGGCCATCTTAATCTTACATACATATTTTATCGCATATATTCTGTCTCATGGATCAAATTTGTAGAATTGTTTCTATGCAAGTAATCCATTATTTGTTTATTATTAATAAATTTCTACTTATTTTAAAAACAAACAATTTATGTTGTGAAGTCAGCATGAATTTACATTAACAAACAAATATTAGTGGAATTTGATAAAGCCTATAATGGCTATTATAGTAAGGCTTTATTTTTTTTGTTGATATTGCTTTGTTTCGAAGCTGTAACATAGCAAACAAAACTAAATCTATGAATTTCCAGTCTCAAGAAGTCATTTCAGTATTTTCCCAGACTGTTAACATTCAATTCCTACACTTTTTCAGTAATTAAAAAACAGCCAAAATGTAAATATTATATTCAAAATTATAGCAATAACCTTAAAAATTAAAAAAAAAAAAGCAGATGTCAAATTAAAAACTTAATAATAAGGAAATAATTTATAATACATGTTTCTGACCTGCAACACACCAAAAATTACAATATTTTCCACCTTCTATAGATGTACTGGACAGATAATAACCGAAGGCCTTGAAGCAAGAACAAATTTGTAGTGAAAGCCAAATAAAATTTAATAGGACAACAGGTTAGTCCAGCGTTAAGTTGTGAAAAAATCCGCAAGACCAGGAGTAATCTTGGTTTTGCTTGCTTATGAAAGTCATGCCTCATGAGTCAATAAGCATCTATCAACATTGACGTCAAAGACAATGCGCTGAACAAAACAGAATTTCTATTGACCAATGACATGCTCATTCCAACATCGTTTGCCACAAGAGAGAAGACTAAGGTCACATTTGTGCCAATTCTTACATGTTTAAAGAGAAAAAAATGCAATAAAAATAGAGTTGGGAAATTTCAATTTAGCTGCTGTATTCATTAAGACTCAAATATTTAATTTATAACAAAAAAAAAAAAAAAAATAAACATGATCATAAGTTATAGAAATATATAAGCTGTGCACTAGTGTTTTCATCTGCATTACCGATTTGATTGCTGCCGAAGTAATTGAATTTCTTCTTCTTTGATAAGACTCCCAAACCTTCATGTAATTTGTATAAGTATTAAAATTAAGTTAATTTAAAGTCTTCTTTTGATTTGTAGAAACAACCAAAAAACAAAAAAAATATCTCTGGCTACAGAATACAGGTAGTAATGTAAGCATCTGAATATCAGACCTTCACTAAAAGCCAAGAACAGATGGTAATAAAATTCAAAGAGGAAATATCAGAAGAATCCTTGGACCAACATGCACTGATAACATCTGGAGGCTGTGATGGAACAGAGAAATTATACTCCATTATGGCGAAATGGATATAGTTAGATTTATTGAATTTGGAAGACTTCGGTGGACCGAACATATTAAAAGAATGAATCTAGAGTAGATTTCTTGAAAACTGCTAGAAGGATAGCTCTATACAATTAAAAGAACTAGAAGACCAGTATTAAGATGGATTGTGTTAACAAAGACTAGAGATGACTGCTGGTTTAAGCTGAAGGAGTCCCTGACTCAAACTGAACTGTAGCACTGGTCAAGTAATTAGATTAAAGCTGCTTTGTAAATTATTCTTTTTCAATAAAGCTCATGTATAAATATATTTATTTTTAAATTCTTTGTTAGCACACTAGCTATAGCAAAAATTAACACTATAAAAATCTCCCATATTCTCCAACACGTAAACAAATCCAAGTAAGGTTAAGTGTCTCTATTAGGCTCCAAGTAATTATGCTTTTGTTCCTTTTTACAAAGTCAATTATATAAAAATCAAGTGCATCATATTAACAGATTAACATCTGAAATTAATTTGGCAAAACAAGAGGCTCAATCACAAAAAATTGACATGTCAGTGTCTTCAGTTTAATGGCTCATACTAAAACTATTTTCATTAACACTACATGTTTTAAACTCTTAAATTAAAAACTTCAAATTGAAAAACCTATTTAATTCTCTCTTTCTGTAGTATAATTATGCCTTTGCCAGTTAATAAAGGCCATCTCCACTTTTACTCTATAATTCTGTTAAGTCTTCCTCTGGGAACAATTAGAAAATAAAAAAAGTAAAACCATCCAACAGTTTCTGCAGCCAGTGGTTACTAATGAAAAACAGGCTGGTCTTTGATATAATAATATGATAAGTATAAAACAATCCAACAGTTATCAATATTTATGTAATATTCTCAAATAACCATCCATGGGAAGAACAAACTGTTAAATTTGGCATCAGTATTGCTAAAGGTACACAATAACCAGTCCATGACTCCTTCCAAAACATAAATGTAATAATAAAAGGTAGATGATCAGATTTCATTTAGTATTATGGACACCACCCTGTGGAGGAGCAGCAAGTGAAAAAGCATTAATGCATTCGGATAACTGAAACAACATTAATGGCAGGATGAATAAAAAATCGTGATCATGATTGTAAACAAAAAGAAAGAAAAAAATGATCTTAAATTGCAGACCTTAACCCAAATTGATTTGGTGTGCTGCTAGTCATTTTCAGTAAGGTGAAGTATAATCAGTAATAGTTCATTATCAACAAGATAAATATCTACCCTACCTTTTCAGGATCTACTTTATCATACAGTTTCAGGACTAGTATAACCCTTTCTTTGATGAGGTCTAAAGTGAGAGGTGGTCCATGACTAAACAACCGCCAGTTAATTACATTCTGAAAAATAAAAAAAACAACTATGATCATATAAAATTAGGATTATATACCTTGTCTGCCGTAACTTTGTCGTAAGCTTTGATGACATTGAGAACCCGAGCTTCAATTTCTTCAAGTTTAAGTTTTTTAGAGGCAGTGGTACTCCACCTCCTATTTTCTGATAACTGCACAAGTAAAGTTATTCAACAATTACAAAGCACGTAAATAATACTACTAGAGAAAATGACTCATTATTTGGTAATATAGACTGATATGAATTATCATTATTTAAAAATGTTTATTTATAGGAGCTTCAAAGCTATAAATCGTATTAGCTACTGGTCTCATTTATCAACAAAGTAAATAATAATCAATCAAACATACCATTCATATACACTATTTACATACAACAACAAACCAATACCCAAAGCTCCCCTGAAATCGTCAATTTTAGTTAAGATAGAATACTGAAGATACCGATACTAGTTTCAAATCACTACTCCAAGATGTAGATTGCTTTCATGATCACTTCTACAACTTTAGAAATAGAATCCTGAGTGATTATGATCATTAGTTCAATTAAGAGTTAAATTTATCTCACTTACATAAATTGTCTGTAGTCAGTTATAATTAATTAACTAGTTCTAATTAATAAGCAAAGAAGTTAGTGATTATGGTGATAGTAAATTGTTTCAGGAAAGGTTTGTTATTAATTAAAATATTTTAAAAATGTCCACAAAGTGTAAGTTATATTAATAGTTATTAAATAAAAGACCTCTGGTACGGATCATATTTTAAAACTATAATTTAAATTTATTGAAAATAGCAATACATAAATTGGTAAATTTAGTTTTACTTATAAATCAAAACTGCCTCAAAACGTAAAATCCATGTATTCGGCACCAGAACAAGGACTTGAAAATTGTAATATTTGGCAATCCTAACAAATAATTATTCTAAGAAAATTATACAAAGCTAATTTAAATTTTTACCAAGTTGAAAAAGTTTTGAATAAAATTTTGTGACACAAATTCTAATGGGGCTGGAGTAGCCTTGAGGGCTAAGGCGCTTGCAATAGGTAATCAAAGTTAAGCAAGGGCGAGCGTGGCTAGCACTTGGATGAGTGATCGTCCATCAAAGAAAGTTACGCTGCCCGAGATTCCTCCCTTTTCCCCGGGTGAGTGAGGCCTGTCAGCCTACTGGAGGCAACTCACACCAAGCAGGCGTAGGATTAATGACCCTACCCCGTACTTTAAATCGGGAATCGGGATGTGGTCTAGGAGACCACACTCGTGGTCAACAGAAAAAAAAAATTCTAATGAATCAAAGATCGATTCCGGCAGTTGTGATTTCAAACAAATCATGTTATTATTAAAGCAATGCATACATGAAACAAGATATCAATCAAAATATTGAAAAATGCTGTAATAAATTTCATGGGCATTTGTTAAAATGATAAAAATCACATAATGATAAAAAAACTAAATATTAAAGAACATGGCATAAATACACTAATTAGAAGAAAATAAGTCTGAAAATGACATTAAAGAAATGTAAGCTAATAACAAAACAGAAACAGAAAATTAAATTTTTTAATACAAGGTTTTCAAAATCAATCATTTACTCAAGTTATCAGATATCAAACAATGAAACTAATGGTACAACATTATGAGGGTTAATACAAGGTTTTCAAAATCAATCATTTACTCAAGTTATCAGATATCAAACTAATGGTACATTATGAGGGTTGCCCCACTTTGATGGGTGAGCACAAGATCTCATGATCATGCTATAAATGGAATCCAGAGAATGGTTGATTCTACCCGAAAGTAAGAAGGGACCGAACTATCTGAAAAAGCTGGTTTATTTATCCATTTTGAGAAGGAAGAAATTGAAATCAGCTATGATTTTAATGAAAAAGTACCAGCTGGAAATTTGAGGAAACCATAAATCGCAATCTACAATATTTATAATGTGGCAGCACAGATCTCTTTTTCTGTTCTCAGGAGCAATGAATTTTGTTGAACAAGGAATCAAATGAAGGGAAATTTCATTGAAAAGTGATGAATCCCCATTTAAACCTTTAAACATTAATAAAAGTCAATGAAAAAATTGAGAGGTTGCAGAGCTCAGATGGTTTCAAAGCCAAGGTATAGAGATGAGATTAATTGTTTCAAGATTTTGACATGACATCAAGAGCCAGTGTATTTGCGAAGAAATTATAGAGACTGGCATTTAAAGCCAAAAAAATGTTCCGCCTTCAAGATATAAATTGTAATTCTTGCCCAATTGTAATTCCTCTTGGATGGTATGGTTGCTAAGGAATACTTATCATGTTATTCTTCTATGAATTAAAAACCTATTGAAAAGGTAGATAGGAAGAGAATAGCTCTCTGATCCCTTAGGAACTTTATTTAATCTAGAAAGAAACTTTTTTAAATGTTTAATAAAAATAAAATGGAACAAGCTGATCATTTATGAAGTTAATTGTTGTTTAAAATTAAGTTTATGCAATAGAATATCTTTATAATTTGATACGATATATATATGAATAAATAGCACATGCTTTGAATGCATTAGGGAGAGAGATAGTCTAATGTGAGAATTACCACAGAGATACAAAAGTCAAATAAAAAGCAGATAATACACATGAACAATTCTTGTCTATTCTGAGAATTCCACTTATAATATGATCATAAGATTTTGTACCTACCTATTAAAGTGGAATAATACTTGTAAAGTAGTTTTAAACAATCTGATAAATAGAAAGTTTTGATTAATATTCAACAAAAATTCATCCACAACATAGGTACACTTCACAACACAGCTTGCAAATGATTAATGAAATATCACTCGATATATCCCTTACTTTTGAAGTAAAACTTAGAACAGCTTCAATAAAACTCAAATAATTCGGATTTCAGAAAATTCTATATCAATCAAATATTATTATTACTTAATACTCCTCCATCAGTTATATATTCAAGAAATTCAATATTGAGTTTGAAGAAGGAATTAGACAATAACCTAGATTGAAAAGAAATACAGAAGTACCATCCTTAGGCACTGACACTTGCCCATTAACAGCAATAAAAAAAATCATTGATTCAGGCAAGATTTGAAGTAAACAAGTCAAAGTTAGGCATTATATATTCTCCGATGGCTTGATTTTAATGTAAAATAAAACAAGTATGATAAGTCTAACTCCTCAGTGATGGTACTGCCACATTTACTCTTTGAAGACGTAAATACTTTTTTTTAAAACTCAAATGAACAGATTTAGGGCAATTAACACCTGATTATATTGTATGAAACATGTGTAACAAAATAAACGATTTAAATTTAATATCAGAGTAAAATTGCAGTGAAAATAATCAAATGCCTTTGTGAGTAACTTACTCTATTAATTGGAATGAATGTTTTCTGAGGAGTGTTTTTCACGTAACGATTACATGTCTGGACACCAACAACCGCAGATTTGGCGAAGGTTCCAGTAAAAACAGAGTAATTTCTGGTTAAACTGTTCCGAATTCCTTGGACTAGGGCCGCCATTTCTGATATAGATAGTGCCTGAAAATCATCTGATTATTTTCTGGCCACTGCCTTTGAGTATTGCCAATTTAATGAAAAATTACATATTGTTAATAAATTATACACATTTGCAAAGCGGTAAAAAGGATCTTAAATAATTAATTGATTTATTTCCTAAATTTCATAATGAGAAAATATCTTTCAATTAGTCTTGAAACTAAAAAAAAAAAATTTGATTTTCTGTTAATATTTCTGTCCACATTATATTTAAGTTATCTGATAAAGGTAAAAATAAATAAATAAAATAAAAGCTAACTGTGAAGACAAGATGAATACTGAAGATCACTTCACATCATTAAAATGTGGTTTAGTGCCCTCATCCAGCATCAATAAAAAATATGTGTATTATTGATAGAATAAATTAAAGTGATCTGAAAATTTTGAATGAAATACGTGTAATAAGAATATTTTAAAAAGTGATGAGAATGGATCATACTTATTGTTTTTGTAATTCTATTAACATTTCAAGCCGGGATATTAAAATAGTTTTCACCTTTCCGGGCTTCAGCTTCAATCCTGAATTCAGCTAGCCAAGTAGGAGTTAACTAAACATTACATTTATTAGGAAAGATCTGCTGAATGGTGTACCTAGTCCTGTCATAAATATTGTTACAAGGACTGTAACACTACAGATTTCAACTGAAAAATTAATTTTTTCAAAAACATTATTAGAAAATACAATGTAGATCTATAGAGTAAAATAAAAAAGAAATGACTCAAAATGTCCTCATGTTGCCTTGACACAGACATTTCATCTCCGCGTCTAGTCATCAATAGCAGCACGCAGTACTTCTTGAGGAAAGTGCTCAACTGCTGGGACCAGAGATCGTTTGAGGCTTTTCAAGTTAGGGTGTGCTCTGTGCCATACCATTCTCTCCAGTCGGACCAAAACTGACAATCTAGTCCTGAGCTTTGTGTGATAGAGCGGAATCCTGCTGGAAAACCCAATTTACAGCAAACAGGGTATCATTTAGAGGCTTGACAACAGATTCCTAAATATCGTCCTGGTAGTTTTCAGCAACTGTTTTAACTCATTTTTTCCCCCAAAAATAGAGCTTTGTGGTACCATCAAAGAAAACTCACCACCAAACCATTATTGAGGAAGGGTGATGACATCTGTCCACTCTTCCAATGACTTCAGGGGCTTCTTTAGAGCAGTGTGCGTTCAAACGATCATTTTGGCGGTTAAATTTTTCTTCAATTGTAAAAATTTTCTCATCGTTTAACAAAATCTTTCGATGAAAACCATTGGTGTAACGGCCAAGGAGAACTTTAGATCTATCCACTCTATTTTTTTTAGGGAAGTGGTTAGCCTTTGTCCTGTCATTCTTCGAAATGCATCCATCCTAAGGTCACTTTTTATTATGCGAGACATTGATCTGACAGAGATTCCCATTTCCCGAGACATGCTTTTTTGTTTTCGAATGTGATTTCTTCAGATTCAAGCAGCCACTGCTTTCACTGCATTTGCCGTTCTCACAGTGCGGGAACAGCCCCACAGTGATTGGATATTGTCTCCAATCTCAGTTATTCAATCCGCATACGGAGAAAAAACATATAAAAAAATCGGTTCAGTATCGGAGGAAATGCGCGGACAGCGGACGCCGTACGACGCACAGTGGAACGAAAGACGGATTTTTGTGAACATGGGCATCGAACTCCTAAATGATGTCGGATCAACTTGATATTTAGTACACTTATGTTTTCAAGGCCAATGAACATGAATATGTCGTCAAAATTAGAAAATTCCTACGAATAAAAAAAAATCCGGTTTCTTTGTTTAAAACTGAGAATTTTTAAATTTGACAATTAATTAACTTCGAAAATAATAGAGACCTCATAAAACGCATAATTTTATACATCTATTTATAACTACTGTCTATATTGCTACATTTAACCGTTATTTTAATATTTTTTTTAAAAAAACACAATAAATCACAAAATATAATTATAAGATATGTATATGTAATTATGTGTGATAACTTAAAATGTGTGTCGTTTATTAATTATAAATATTCATTTTATAATAGTTCTTATGAAATAATAAACATTTTGTTTTATTTTTATCACAAACAAATTTAAAAACCATCGTTAATGATATTTTGAAAACCATCGGTACTTCCTCACATTTTCTGAACAAAAGAATATGCAATTTTTAAATTAATTTTAATGATTATATTAACAACTGATGCATATCAAGTCATAAGGGTTCAACCAAATACTCTCATATACAATTTATCGGTATGAAATTACGACATTTAAAAAGAATAAGGGTTTGAGATTGAAAATAATTATATTTTATTACTAACAGACAGTAATCTTAGCGAAACAAGTAAATAAAGTTTTTTTTTTTTCCTTGAGGCCGTCTTGGGAACCCAATGACCACACCTTTTATTTAATTTTAAACTTTAGTTCATTTAACGGTGTTGTGTTTGTTTATTTATTTAGATTAGAGTGAAAATAAAAGATGGCTATATAAAGTTAAAAAGAATAATATAAAAGTTATCTTATCTAGGTAGACAAAATTAATGTTTAAAACATTGAAAACGAAGATTTCATATTTAATGTAATTTTTTTTTATTGTTTTGGCTTGAGGTATTTTTCGAAGCAAATAACTACAGAACCTTATTTTCTTTATGATCAATACAATTCTTAAAACTAAATTTGAGAGCATGTCAAGTTATAGGAGATTTAGTACATACAATTATTATATGTGTTAGTGTTAGATTGTAAGCATTATATGTACAATTAGTACATAGAAATTGTTCGAACATTCATACATACAAAAATAATTTTAAATATATTTTAACTACCTTCAGGCGCACCATGGCGGTTTAAATTAATACGAATTTATCTTTATCATTGACTGCTAAAAAGTTGTAAGAAATCAATTTTCCAGAGGATATTGGAGGATTTTTTAATTCGCAGTATTTGTAAAAATTTGATTTAAACACACCTATTTTTGTTAAGAAAAAAAATTCGAAGTAAAACAACTTTTAGAAATTATTGTATTTTTTTTAATTATGCCGAATGACAGTAAAAAGTGTATAAAGTTTCAAGAAAAAATTATCAACCATCAGCTCGAACCAAGCAATTTTACAAAATCTACAAATCACACGAAATTCCACAAATTAACTAGGTTTTCAATTGAACTATTTACTGAAGACAGTAAAAATTGTTCATTCCGGCAACTAAAAATATTCTCACAAACTGTCTCAGGTATCAATTAAACAGTTTGTCTAGTTAAAAGATTTATAAACAAAATTTTTTTTTTAGCCGATGTCGCAGTTTTTCCATTACTCGGCCCACTGTGCGGTGTACGGTGGACGGCGGACGGACAAAAAAATTGTAATTCGTTTTTCGAATTTTAAGTATCCTGAAACGTAAAACTTCAAATTTTGAGAGAGGATTAAGTTTTTGAATTTTTTTTTCTATTACAATGGTTCATTATTGAAAATCAACCAAATAAACCAAAAAATATATTAACCACTAAATAATATTTCAATAATAATTAATTAATTAAAAATAAATAATTAATGATTTGTTTGTGGCTAAGCTTACCTCTTTTTAACGATTATTCAAAAGAGAAGTTTTTATTTTGTAGAAGATTTTGGGACATCTAATTCTAATTAAAATATGCAGAGATGGTATGCTGCTAACAGACAATATGCAAAAAGAAGGTAAGCCATCTAAAGACCTAAAATCTACGTTTAAAAGTGCTTCCGATAAAAAAGGTGCCCATCCTCCTCTCCCCAAGGTCGATGGCGCAGGAACCATCTAACGCAATACAAAAATTGTATTACTGTCCTCTTCTTAAAAAATAAGTGCAGGAGAAGGAAGGATTAGACAAATCGTCGACCATATACATTTAAACTTTCTGTGGTCTGTTCCATGTTTTCATCCTAGTTCTCTGTTATGAAACTTTTCACTCGAAAATTCGTAGCCCCGTCAAAATGTGCCTCTCTCCTCCCCCCCAACAAAATTCAAAACGCAAGTTGCGCCATCAGAATTTTTGGGGCCACATAAGTCTAGGCCTAATGTATGGTGCCTTTAATATTCTCAAGAAACAAACCAATGTCATCATCTACTATTTTTTAAACTAACATTGATATTACATCTATGTATGTATATATATATATATATATATATATATATATATTACATATACATATATATATTATATATATATATATATATTATATGTAATATATATATATATATATATATATATATATATATATATATATATATATATATATATATATATATATATATATATATATATATATATATATATATATATACATATACATACATACTAATTATATAAGTGAGAGGGACAATAATATTTTTTTTGGAGGGGAGGGCATGCGCCATCGGCCTTAGGGGGGATGGGCACCCTTGGTGCAACCCAATAAACTATCAAATAGGTAAATAATAATTAATTTTGAAAAAAAAATGGAAATAAATTGACTCCACCTCCGTAGATCCGCCTGTGATATAAAGCAATGTTAAATATGTATATCACTTGAATTTAAGGATTAAATCAGTGATTAACAAAAAAATAAGGCTATTTGAGGGAAAAATGTAATCCTTCCAATCTATTATCTATATTATCGCAAATTAATATAAATATTGTGTTATTATTTGGAACAAATCAATATTTGAATTAAAAAATAAATATTTGAAATTTTTTTACAAGGCTTGCGTAAGGCGCCAAAGTCGAATTTGTTTATTACTGGAATGAAACCAAGTATAACCTCCAGAGTACATTTCTACTAGGTGAGACCGTATATCTGTATTTAATTTAATTTCACAAACTTGAATTCATTTGCAAATTATCTTATAATGTACAGATTTAAACATTGATTTGTTAATTAGATCTAAGATGGTTTGATAAGTTGTTCATGTTTGATAATGCCAGAGGAGTCATACTCAGAAGAAATGAAGATTAATCCAGACAAGCCCGTTAATGTTGACAATTATCGCAAATTGGTTCGCTCCTACTTGGATCTGGTATGTTTTTATATATTAAAAGTGATTTGTAAAACTCTTCTGTCCCTACTTACTTTGATTTGTTGACAGCACTTGTACACATCAGCTTTGTTCTGGGCTGATAAAGTAGTTTCTCTGAGTGATGGGGAGCCAGAAGATGTCTATTGGTTAGCTCAATGCATGTTTTTATTGAAGCAATATCATCGTGCTGCTTTTTTGTTGAAGAATAAAGGCCTTCACAAGGTTAGTATATTATAGTCTCATAAGTAATTACAGAAAGTCATAAATAAACTGATAAGAATAATAATAAGTTATGAATTCTCTCATAAATTTTTATGGTGTTGTAATCTCATTTACTGTAATGAACTTACTACTTTCGTTATTATTGTGGTCTCAAGATCATGAATGGATACATTTTACTGGAAGATATATAAATGCCATAATACTGTTTGTATAACTAAATCATCTTTATCAATAATTAATGTAATTGTCCTCAAATCGTTTCTGCCTGGTGATCAGCTAAGATCATATCCATCACATTAAACATGAAATTTGAACAGAATTTCAACAGGATGTTCCATTTGATTGGTAATAGTTAAGTCAGGAAACTCATCAATTCTAAACTATATCTTTTTTTGATTTTCATTAACCGTGAGATAGCTCTTCATATTTTATTATAATTTTAGCCACTTCCATTTTAATTTTTAAAAAGGAAATTAAATGATAACTAATTGTGGCATTATTTATGTAAAGTTTTTTCATTGACAGTTCCGCTAATATATACCACTACTCATTATTTTTATTGGATGTTAGTAGATGCAGAAATTTCCAAGAAAACCAGATAGCCATTGGCCCTCCAGGTTGGAGGAACAGTGCACTGACGCTCGCACATATATACTCTATACAGCACACTACCACGCACTCACTCACATCATAATCGAAGGTCATAAACAGTACACACCCTAGGGTCACCTTCCCTAGGTTGCCGCGCCTGGATGGGAGAGTGTGTCAGGGCCCTTTGAGGAGGCAGCTCCTCCACCTATCTCGGGAGCAATGGGCTGATATCCTATTTCCCTTAAATTATCTTATCTACTAAGCTCAGAAAGGATTAGCCCGATTGATACACGGAAAACAAACCAGGAAACGTCAATTGGAATATAGGATCGCCTCATGGAATATTTTGACACTTTATAGACCTGGAGCACTGCAAGTGCTTCTAAACACCCTTGAAAACTATAAAATAGACATATTTGCCATTCAGGAAAATCAGGTGGAGCGGGCAGGGCAGCCTAAAGAAAGGAAACCACACTGTATACTATAGATGTGATGACCGCCTCCACACATTCGGGACTGGTTTTGTTGTTAACAAAAGACTTTCTCAGAATGTGATTGATTTTAAACCGATTAGTCCTAGACTCTGCATGCTCCTACTTAAGGGGAAATTAGCCTACAATATTAGCCTAATATGTGTCCATGCACCTACAGAAGTGTCAGAAGAGGATGTGAAAGATGGCTTCTATGAAGAGATTGAAAGGTGTGTCGAAAGCAGTCCCAGATACGACATGAAGATTGTGCTAGGTGATTATAATGCACAAATAGACAAAGAACCTACATATCAACCAACAATAGGTCTCCATAGCCTACATGATATTTACAATAACAATGGGAAGAGACTCATAAACTTTGCAGCATCAAAAGGTCTTTGCATTGGTAGCACATGTTTCCCTCACAAGAAAATACATCTGGCTACGTGGGGAAATTTGGAGCTAATGGTAGAATCTCAACTTCACAAATTGATCATGTGCTCATTAGTACCGGACATAGGTCTTCGCTGATGGATGTGAGATCCTCCCTAGTGGGCGGGGTGGCCGAATGGGCTAAAGCGTGTGCACTGCACCGCCGTTGCCCGGCAACCTGACATATGAATCACTGACATATAAAAAGAGTCCCGGTGCCGGGGGAGTCTTTTAAATCCCCGCTCACACCCCCTGGCCCGGGAAAATCCCGTATAGCCTTAACGGTGAGGAAGGGAAGGAACAAAAAAAAAAAAATAATAAAGATGTGAGATCCTACAGAGGAGCGAATGTGGACTCAGACCACTATCTCATAACCTCTAAAGTTAGAGTACGGATCTCAAGGGCAAGAAGACAGAATGGTGCTCCTGTATTACGGTTTGACATATCCAAGCTCAAAAGCGAAGAGATTCAGACAAGGTTCACTGCTGCAATGGATACAACTGCTCTTTAAACGTAGTGGGGGTGAAATAATAAAATTCCTCCGAGAGTTATTGATTGGTTATGGACAGAAGAAAGACTACCTGCTCAATGGAACAAAATGGTGATTTGCCCCATTCATAAGAAAGGGGATGTATCGGAATGTAATAACTACAGAGGCATCTATCTCCTTCCCACCGCATACAAAATTCTATCCATCATACTCTTTAATAGACTGCTTCCATTTGCCGAACTAGAGCTCTGAAAGTATCAATCTGGATTCCGTAAAGGAAGATCTACGACAGATCAAATGTTTACCCTACGAATCCTGTTGGAGAAAACAAGGGAATACCAGATACATACTCACCACCTGTTCATTGACTTCCAACAAGCCTACAATTCAGTGAACAGAGTAGAAGCATATAAAGTAGTGGTGGATATGAGCTTCCCTACCAAACCGGTTCGTCTAGTAAAAATGACGATGGAGGACAACGTATGCTTTGTCAGAGTGGGCGGAGTGCTATCAAGAGGATTCACAACGAGGACAGGTGTGAGGCAGGGTGATGGCCTGGCTAGTTTAATGTTTAACTTTTCCCTTGAGAAAGCTATCAGGGACTCTGGTATCCAAGTAACAGGAACACTTATCAACAAGACAGTCCAGATTTTAGGATTTGCGGATGACTTGGATCTTGTGGGAAGGACTCTTAACGCCATTAGAGAAGCTTTTAAAGCATAAAAGGAATCTGCAGCAAGACTGGGCCTAATGGTGAATGTTAAAAAAACGAAATATATGTACACCCTACCTACTCACGAAGATGGTGGGAGTCATGTCTCAATAGGTTGCCATAGATTTGAAAGAGTGGAATCATTCATATACCTAGGATCCCAGATCAACCGCAATAACTCCATTGAAGAAGAAATCCAAAGACGGATCCTCTCCTCAAATCGCACCTATTTCTCCCTCCATAAACTTTTGAGAAGTAGTGTGTTGTTGAAGGCCTTGAAAGTGAGAATTTAAAGGCAATTATATGACTAGTTCTTACATATGGCTCAGAATGTTGGACTACAACTAAAGCCCTTGAGCATCTCCTTCTCCGTTTCGAAAGAAAAGTGCTTCGCCGTATATTTGGTGGTATATATGAGGGAGGTGCATGGAGAAGAAGAACGAATGCTGAGTTAAGAGCGAGGTACAAAGAAATAGACGTATCAACATTCGTAAAGGTATCAAGACTTCGCTGGGCTGGTCACGTCATAAGGACGGATCCAAACGAAGTTCCTTACAAGATCTTAGCTGGGCAAATGTATGGTACCAGGCGGGTTGGACGCCCCAGGCTTCGCTGGGAAGACTGTGTGGCTGCAGACACGAGATCTCTGCTCGGTGTTATGAACTGGAAGGCAGCAGCACGGAACAGGGAGGACTGGCGGTCTAAGCTTGAGCAGGCTATGACTCAAATAATGGGTCGTAACACCGAATAAGAAGTGAATATCTTTGAATGGATACTAAAAAGTTTTAGTACAGAAAAAAACCTTAAAAAATAGTATGTCAACTTTTCGCGATTTTGGTCCAATGTGTGGTGGGTCACTAATTTGCAGAATGGGTGTGGAAGAGTGGTACAATGGATGAAGTGTGTTTTCTGGATGATGTGCACTTTTTTAAGAATTCCCTTTACCAACTTGTCAATAGCGGACCTTTGAAATAAAGCATGAGCATTGTATTGCAACTGTGGGACAAGAATATACAAGATGTCGTATATTGTGATTAATATTAATCATAACAATTTTATAATTTTTATTCTCCAACAAGATCCAACATCAGTGGCATACCTAGAATATTGAGAGCCCGAGGCAAATGTTTTCTTCTTTTTTTTGGATTAAAGTATTCTTACAATTAAAAATAAAATATAATAAGATGCCATTACCAACATTAAGGAGACTAAAACAAATTATTTCTAGCTTATATGAAATTAAAAGCCTTTTTCCCTAGGATGGCAAAATGCAAAATTAAGCTTGCCCCACCAGATTCAATCCTGGTGTTGGAAAATGTCGCTCGCCTAGTAGAAGCGGAGATTTTTGAGAAGATTAAAAATTAATGATGGAAAATCCTTGTTATTATTTCCTCACAAAAATTAATTATGTTAGTTCATGTCTCTTGTTCAGAAATTTAAAAATAAGAATTTATAAAATTATTTTATGAATTAAAATGGCTTACGTTAAGGGAAGAATAACACCCAATGATAAATAAAGCAAATAGATATTACCAAAATAGTTTTGTGGCAATTGAAATGGGTATCGAAAGTTATAGAAAGTTATTAATGAAATTTGCTCATTTACTGGCGCTTTTTTACATTAAATATTCAATTTGAAGATGGAATTATATTGATATAAAAAAAACTAACCATTTGTTGTGAAGTAAATAAATGTTATATTAGACCTCTTAAAAAGTAGAGAATAAGGTAATGTTTTTGTTTTAAGCATGACCTCAGTTGCATTAAACATATTAATTTGTTATGACAAGTTTATTAGATTTCTAGCTCCATAATTTTGATGTTACAATTTTTTAGACTCATCTTGTTTGCCGTTACCTTGCAGCAAAGTGCTTGCTTGAAGCTAAGGAGTACAATGAAGCATTAGAACTATTAAGTTGTGACGAGAGAGAATCAAACTACTCATCAGGTAGTTCAGGGATTACAGAATCAATAAATTCCTTGTTGGACCAGGCTGACAATACAATAAAGGGGTTCCCTGTTCCCAGTGTAAGGTTGTCATAATATTGGTATTGAATACTGTTGTTATTATTGAAAACTTACCTTTAACTGTTATTTGTAGCTTCATAGTGCTGTGCTCTACCTTAAAGGATGTGTTTATGAAGCACTCGACAATCGTAGCCTTGCATCAGAATGTTACAAACAGGCATTAAAACGAGATGTATTTTGTTTTAATGCTTTCCAGTCATTAGTTCAACACCAAATGCTTACGGCATGGGAAGGTATAACTTCATTATTATATTTTTAGTAAATAAAAAAATTGGTGCGCAAATCACACAACTTTCACTTACTACTCTACTTTGAATAGAAATTATATACCAGCTATGTTGGTCTATTACAAAAATTTTTAAGTGTATTTTTAACGAAGCTTAAGCTTAGAGCCTACAGCTAATAAATCATTAAGATCATTAAAATAGCAAATACTTTATTTATTATATCGACCGTAGGCAATAAAAATTTCGCAACATCATCTATTATTGTAAACCATGTAAACATAACTCCAGTCTCTGAACTATATATGCCCAGAATACGCCTATATATTTAACAAGTGAAATGAGGGAGTGGAGTTGTGTGTAAGTAAGCTCTTTAAAACACTTTTCCTCCAAGAAGTTGCTCCATTCCATTGCTGCATTATTCTATATGGAGTCATTAGTTTCACCACTGTAGCCATCTTTAAATAGTACAGTTTTTATTTTTTAGTAAACATGCATTGTTCTATTTCTGTTTTTTTTTTTCATTTAATGTTTCCTATTCTTCTATCATAATTTTAAAAAAAGTCACATGACTATTTATAGATTGTTAACTGATGTTCTCACATAATTAAGCTAAATTATTTATTCATTAATATTTTGTTTTGTTTTGTTTTACTAAGATAACTCTTATATTTTTTTAGAGAATGACTTAATTTCTTCTTTACCAATAACAGAACAATGTAAATCTAAAGATGATGAATGGCTGGTGCGTAGTGTATATGAGAGCCTTCTTAAAAAATATCATTCAGTACCTCCAAGGTAAGTTATTCTATTCGGATCATTTTAATTTATGTATAAATTATATGTTTCACCTTAAAAGTTACAAAATTGTGCATATGTATGATCACGTCTATATTTAATTTAGCAGATAGTTCCCAGGATACTTTTATCATTAAGTAATAATTATGAACTGTTTATTTCTAACTAATATAAAATTCTAATAAGTCTGTTATTTGTACATTTAGATCAGTGGTTCAGACTCATCCAAGATTGAAAGGAAATCTTGATCTACGGGTTGCAGAAGCTGAGAGACATTATTATGCTTGTAATTACACTGAATGCTTCAGGATAACTCAAGAGTAAGTTGAGAAAGATATTTATTTGTATAATAATCTTTTTTTAATTTTTTCTACAAGTGGAAAATTAAAAAAAAAAAAAAAATGCTACGGAATCAATCTACTTCCATTTTTACCTAGTGAAAACTTTGTGCCCACCTCTAGCAATTAATGTCAATCCAGTGGCTTTCACATAACTATATACGGTACCATGGACAATACTTAGACAAAGGCTCACTTGAAAGATTTACACAAAATTTTAGAAACTAAGAACTTGCAAGACGATGCAAGCAACGTACACATCATTTGAAACTGCAGTCCTATCTTAATTAACTAAATCAGCAACTAATCTATATTATTCACTAATTATAAACAAAAAATAAATATGTTATAATAATAAATATCTAAATTACAGAAGCTTTAGATAACATTAACCTTAGATTGTTCACAGTTGTTTTATAATCTTTTTTTAATAGATCGATTTTCTTCCTGTAATTGATTTTTCACTTCCACTTGGATACTTGTTGTCACTTTTAGCTACTTCGCTATCAATTCATAGACTAGACATTAATTAAAGATTGTAATATAGTTCTGGGCCAGCTTTCAGATTGGAAAATTAGAAAATAAAAAATTCTATATTGGTTTTTGATTTTTTATGTTTGTTAATTAAGATTAAAGTTGATTATCTCAACTTATTGGAAGGTTTCATTTATAACATCGATAATAAAGATTGTCTCACTTTGCTTATGCTTATGTGATCCTAAAATTAATAATGCGAGTCATAAAAAATACTAATTTGGACTATTCTAAACCAATTTATTTTAAAACGAAATCACCTACTATTGCCTTCAGGTCTGCCTTGATAGCCTAGGAGCTATTGACCATTTCATTTAATGAAAGGACGTTTAGCTAGTAACCATTTTAAATTCTAGGTAAACCTCATCTGAACACACAACTTCGGTCAGTCAAAAGTCGTTGCTTTCTTTACGGAAATTTAAATTAATGAAGCGAAATTTGACGTTTCACTCAACAGAAGAATTGAATATGTCCTTGAAAGAGAATTCACTGATGATGTTCTCAGTTTTATGTTTTTTAAGATGCTGAATCTTAATTTGATAAATAAACTAACTACCATCCGACTGACGTATTTTGATGACTTTGACGTCATCAGTTTCTAATGCAGTCTATGTGAATTCTGTTTCAGGGACATATTCTTTACATCATATCAAAATTTCAGCCATCAGTTCTTCCATTAAATGAACTGTAAAATTTTGCTTCTTTAGTTTAAATATTTGTATAGAAAGTAACGGCTTTTGATCAACTGACGAAAGTTGTGTGTTCAGATGAGTTTTATCTAGAATTTAAAATAGTTACTAACTATAAGTTCTTATGCTAAATGAAATGGTCGGTAGCTCCTAATTACTTTCAAATCAACAAAATAAAAAAAAAAGAATGATTTTCCCTTACCTGTTTCTAGGAGTTTCTTCAAAGATTAGTTTTACTTTACTTTTTCATTTCAGAAAAATGAAAAATTATTGTATAATTGATAATAAAAATAACTGGTATGTTGAAAATATTTAAATATTGCAAATTTGATAATATTAGTAAAACAAAACTATTTATATCTTTAATGAAAGTATTTACTCCAGAATATCACTAGGACTTTTAGCACTTTGTTTTAAATATTAACATTTGTTGGCTGAATAATTTAATTTTTCTTAATTGATTCAATTTATTTTCAGAATTTTGGAAGAAGATCCATACCACACTACATGTCTTCCCATACACATTGCTGGCCTTGTTGAACTGAAAAAAACAAATGGTAAGTTTTAGGTTTCCTTCCATAATAATAGTGTATTGATATATTTAATTTCCTTAATTTATTCAAAAACGTAATATAAAAAATGCTTCTATATTACTTAGCTAAGAAGAAAAGCAATTATTCATTCACCAGTTATATGCTCACATGCCGGTATCTTATTTTATTGTTTCTAAATAGCTTATTGATATCATATTGTTCACATTTTGAATCACTGACTAATGAAATGTGGTGCAAATATCCAATTACCATTATAATTTATTTCTTATAAAGAAATTTTTTATCATACGCATTTTAAATGTATTATTAAATAATTTTTTATGTTAAACAAGAATAAACATTACTTTTTTACTTATTAAAATTATCCTTTTTTATTATTTTTCTTTCTTCTGGGAAGCTGTTACAATAATTGGTTTATTTGTTGATTTACATATTAAGTTGACGTTTCAGGAAAATTATTCCCATCTTCAAAACTTAAAATCCCATATTTTCATAGCGACTTATGGCTAAAGTCTGATGTACTCCTTCGTCATGTTTTGAAATTAATGTTATAAATAAAATGAAAACAGTTATACTATCTGGAACATCAACATTCCTTGGCCCAATAATTGGGTGTCTTCTATCAGTGGATAGTTGTTCTTCTACTATACTATCAATGGATAGTAGATACCCAATTATTGGTACTAGGTATGTTGATACTCCAGATAGTATAACTATTTTATTTTATTTTATTTATAACATCAATTTCAAAACATGGCAAAGCAGCACATCAGACTTTAGCAATAGATCGCTATGAAAATATGGGATTTAAAGTTTTGAAGATGGGAATAATTTTCCCGAAACGTCAACTTAACACGTAAATCAACAAATAAACCAATTGTATAGCTGAAAGTTTTCATTGCCGAAAATAGAGTTTTTTGTTGTTTTTAAGAATACAAAACAATGATAAAAACCTAAGGAAAAACAAACAAATTAGTGCCCGCTGGTTGCTTGTTGAGCTGTAAACGTACAATTAAATTGAAATAGATTGAGGACTTCTGGTCAAAGCTATTGATAACAAAAGACATCTACGAAATATAGGTATTAGAAAGAAAGATTAAGCCAATGCGACTAAAAATATAACTTCTTTATTCTTTAGTATTATTACAATCTTACTTTGCAGTCCCTCATATTGATGCCTTACAAATTTGACAACATTAGTGAATTTATACATATGAAGTATCATTCACATTAATAACCTGTACTGCTAACAACCCATGAAGGGTCTTAGGTTCAGTACATTGTGAGGAAGTACTGTTACAAGGCCAACGGTTGTGCAGAGAGGTGATAGGCCAAAATTACGCTCAACTGCCATGTTTTCCTCCTTATTTATTATTTAATTAAGAGTACCCACTTTGTAGAGGCTGGGTTTACCCCAGGGTCGACCCACACCTGATGAAAAATTACTAGTCATCAGCCAGATTCGAACCTGGTACCTTGAGCTCTGATCTGGAAGTCAGTGTTCACTCACTTAGCTATTCCACTCCCTCATTCACATTAATAATAGTTTAAAAAATATGTATAATTTAATCTCTTATATTATTAATTGTGTAATAATTACTATTTACTATTTTAGCTCTCTTCTATCTTGCTCATGACCTTGTGGATATTAGACCTGACCTAGCTGTGTCATGGTTTGCTGTTGGGTGCTATTATTTTTTAAAAGGTATGAGTTTAATATCTTAAACAAATTTATTATATTTTTGGATTACACTTTATATGAAATATATATATATTCCATATAGTATGCGTAATAAACAATTACAATTTTGAATATTTTTATTTATGTTTGGTGTTATTATTATTTTAAAGGTAAAACTGATCCTGCTAGGAGGTATTTAGGAAAGGCAACCTCCCTAGACCGTTTGTTTGGCCCAGCTTGGCTTGCCTATGGCCATTCATTTGCAATAGAAAATGAGCATGATCAAGCCATGGCAGCTTATTTTAAAGCTTCACAGCTCATGAAGGGGTAAAAGTATAATTTATTAAACATTGTATTGTGAATTATATTCAATCTTATCAAGTAAATTTATAGTTAGAATATAATATATAAGATATAATTAAGAATCATCATTACTCGCTATAAGTTTACATAATAGTGATAATACAGAAATATACTTTTGACTCATGAATTATATTACAATGTTTTAATTTATTTTTCCTGAAAGAATTTTTTTTTCAGTAATGTGTTTTTTTTTAGTTATATTTATATAAATATTTATTAAGAAACTGTTCCTGTAGGTTTTTAAATATTTGTATTCCAAAGTAAGTTTTAAAGTCTATGTCACTGATGACATTTCTATTGTTTTAAGTATCAGATAAGCTACATAGATAATTTTAGTTTAAAAAAAAAAAAAAACAATCTTATTCAGACCTATATTAGTGAAATACGACTATTTTAATTTTGACAGCACAAAAAAAAATGGCAAGGAAAGTTTTGTGAGTGGTTATGCCAGATATTTTTTTATCTATTATTTGTTTTTTTATTTTTAGGTGCCATCTTCCATTATTATATATAGGCCTGGAATGTGGCCTAACTAACAACAACAGATTAGCTGAGAAATTCTTCAGTCAGGCTCAAACGATCGCTCCAGATGATCCATTCGTTTTACATGAAATGGGGGTCACTGCATTTCAGAATACTGAGTAAGTGATTGCTTCATAAGTCATCAACAAATTCTTATCAAAAGAATAGTACAGGTTCTTCTACTGGATTTTATTTAATTTTACTATTATTAGTTTTGATTTGAGGCAGGGGTCTCCAAACTATGGCTCGCAATTATGTAAAAGTTTCTTTGATTACATTTTAAAATATTAAAAACTATGAAATTATTTAATCACTCAAACACAAGGTTAGTACATTTATTGTATGAGTTGTTTCTCTTAGAAAGCCCATTTCACAACTGAAGTGTCATTTTGAATTACCAGCCTTGGCCTGCAAGACTTACTGGAAGTATCGATGTGGACCATCGTCCAAAACATTTGCAGACCCCTGATTTAAAGGATTCTGAGTTATTGTAGTGAAAGATAAATTATTTTGAGAAAGTGTATTTTTTTTTTTTTCAATAAAGATATGAGAATTCTCAAACCAGCCAACTCCATTTCAATGTTTTTATTTTTTTAAATTAAAAGTTGTGGAACTTATTGAAAGAATTTCTTTCAATAGCAGTTCGATTACATGTGATTTAACTGCTTTCAAAAGGAATGCTTGAAAAAATTCAATAAAAAAAATAAGTAAAATAAAACAACAATGAAAGTTAATGATGTTTATAAATACTTACTTTGGATTCTTGGAGTGTAAGAAAATTATGACTCTTCCTCTATTTTGTTGTATTTGTGTTAAAGAAGGAACGAAATATAAATATATTTCATCGGTAAGTATAATTTGTGTTTAACCACATTGACTGTAAGTGTATAACTTTAGATTCGATAATATATCTACATAATTAGGTATATGTTGTCGGTTTATTACAAACAATCATTATGTAACACTTTATAAAATTGAATTAGTGACTAATTTGATGAATTTTTCCTCTGTGAAATCACATTATCCACTTACAAGTGTGATGACTTTTGACTTATTAATGTTGGTAATGAAAAGTTCGTATCTCTCTTTTGGTTAATTTTACAAAGATAAAAATAAGAGTTTAAATACATGTAAAAAGTGATAAAGATTTAGTTCTTATAATGTTTCCATATTGTATAACCCTTTATATGTTCTTTAAAATCTCTTTTTTTTAAAGAGTTTTTTGTGGTTATGTGGTTCAAATAGACTGATAGAGGTATTAGGTTTTTATTGCCAACCATCGATATAATAAGTATTGTTTGTATTATTTTGATGAGTTTTCATATTGATAAATATGAATGAAAATTCACAAATATGTTCTTAAAGGTTTTGCTTAATTAACCATATGTTCTTTTACTGACTAGTTATAATGAAGCTCTGAAGTATTTTGAACAAGCACTGGAAAGGGTACGGCAGATCAATGAACCATTAATTGCAGACAAATGGGAGGCACTTTTTAATAACTTAGGCCATACCTGTCGCAAACTACGGAGATTTGACAAAGCATTAGAATATCATCAGCAGGTGAGAATGGTTTTAAATACCATAAATATGTGTTGTTAATAGTATAAAATAGAGTAGTGGTATATTGTAGTATAAATAAATTAGGCCCACCTTAACAGCTCATAAAGGATGGTTTAGGCAGGCAACTATTGAGCCACTTTATTCTTGACCCTTGATGATTTTTGAGAGGGTACATGGTCGTTCTCAACAGTGAAATAGTTATTTTATGAATTTTCGAAATATATTTCTGATATCGACTTTAGCAATAATGAATGGACTGTATACTCAAGTTTTAATAGCCGATGTAGTCTTTGGGTATAGATCCTGATCTTTGAGTCATTTTGCTCATAAAAGTTTTTATGTCTTCTATTTAAATATTTGTGAAATCGATCTTGTGACAATAAGGAAATTTTTATTATATTAAATAATTAATAAATTTTATTTGTTTTCGGACGTACCCATACAAATGGAGTTGAGTTTAAATACATTAATAGTAAGATCCAGTAAAAATAAAACAATTGTGTTTGTTAAAATTATAAACAATACAAACTATCTTGAACAAAATAAAATGTAATGTTAAGTCCTAATTTTATTATTTACATATAACCTTAACCTTAAACTTAATAATAAAACTATTCATTCTTGAATAAACAAAAAAATATTTCTTAATTTTAAACAATCCTCTACATATCAATATAAATCATTGAATTCATATCTGTTTTCCATATGTAATAATTGTACTATTTGTTCTTTATCTTCAGAATTACTGTCAATATATTTTATTAAATACTTACTCTAAAAGCTTCATTTGTAGGACAATGCAACAAAAAATGGTATAAATCTTCTGATTCACGTGTATTATAAATGGAGCATTCGGCGCTCCCATCTAGAAAACTATTTTGAAAACCATAAGAAGTAACCTTCAAGTTTTCGGGTTGGCACAGTCTTAATTGGCTAATCATTCTATGTTTTCTTGTTATTTCCTTAATTTTTAGATAATACTCACCCTTAGTGAAGCTACTAATTTTTCTAATGTGTTGATTGAATGTTGAGTTAAATATAGATTGAATATCGAGGGAAGATTTATTACATTTTAACTTTTCAATAGCATTTTTATATTAACTTTATAATAATGCTTTCTTTTTAATGTTTAATAATTCAACCAAGACTATTGCTCCCAGCATATTTATCGATTGTATGTACCAATTATATTTTGCGTTACTTAAAATGTTTATTATATTTTAAACATTTTTTAGGCATTAGTACTTTCCCCGCAGAATGGTTCCACTTTATCAGCCATTGGTTTTGTACAAGCACTGATGGGAAACCTAGAGAAATCAGCTGAATCGTTCCATAAAGCTCTTGGTATCAGAAGAGATGATGTATTTTCAACCTCAATGCTAACCATTGTGCTGGAGCACCTAGTTGGGGAATCTCCACCATACACAGGTATCATAAACATTTTTAAAATATTTAATTACTTAGATTAAATGGAACTGTTAATATTTAAAATGTTCAAGTACTGATTTTTACTATATATAAATGAAAACTAAGTATGAAATTATCTCAAACTTTGAAAAAACTTGGAGAGTTTTGATACTTCATATAATTAAAATTGTTTTTCGATAAAGTGCCCTAAATCAGAAACACTGTTTTTAATGATTTCAAGATCTAGTTATTTATTTGTACAAAAATATGTTTGCAAGGATCAGCCTTAAGAAATAACCTTAAAATATTTATGAAGAAAACATGAAGTCAGATACTATGGTAATGGCAATCATTGTATATATTAATCACAGTCCAGATTTATGTGTAGTAAAAACCTACAAAATATGCAGTAATAAAACATAAAGTATACAGTAATATTACTGTATAAAATATACAGTGAAAAAATAAATAAATATTTAATAAAACATCTAAAATATGCAATTATACTCATGTTAATATGAAACGTATTGAATTAAAAATACAAAGGATTAAAAATTAAATAAAATTATCCATTTTTTTTTTAAATTAAAAATTATAACTATAAAGTATAGTTTGATAAGTAAAAACGATAAATAAAAACATATATTTATTAATAGTTAGAAGATATGATATAATTTTTAAAAACAAATATATCAAAGTATTACGAAGTTCCAATTAGTAACAAATAAAAACATCTATAAGTAATTGTATATAAAAATGAAAACTAATTGCCAATATTAAAACAAATTTTAAAAAGCGCAAATACACCTCAATATATTTCACAAATTATCATATAATTAATAATAATTAAAACATAATGTGAGACACTTATTAACATAAAAAGAACATAATTTACAATAAGTAATAAAAGAAAATTAACAATGTTTTAACTAAAAAAAACTATTTGACAACCTGAACAAAATAAATAAATCACCTATATTGGTAGATCTGTTCAAAATTAACCAATAAATTTCTAAATTTGTTTCTGAAAACTTAATCTTCTATCGTTTGAAATATTATTAAAATAAGAAAATGATTTTTCTACAACAGATATGATAGAAGGAAATTCATATACACTTAAAATTATTGACTTGTCCTTTTCAATAGAAACTTGTTTTGAACCATAGAAGTAAAAAAGAACCTTTCAATAACTTTTAAAAATTGTTATATCTACGTGAATTTTGAAGAAAATGATGTATTTATTTAAAATTATAAAAATATAAACGCTTGTAAGAAATTGAAACTGAATCTAGTATTTAGAAGTTAAAATGGATGAGAAGGGAGTATAAAAAACTGGGAAATGAAAACATCCATATTCTAATAAATCAATAATTAAAAGTTGTGGTATTTTGTTATCTGTTGATTGAAAATCAACCTAAAATTATATTATCAAATTTCATCTTACTGTTCTATTTTAATTCATTATTTTTAATTATTATTATAACTCTTATTTGAAATAGTCGAAGTATACAATTATACATTGCATTTATCATCAAATATGCAAAAATCTGCAGTTTAAAATTTGACTAATTCCTTCTGGGTACACTGATTCGTATAGATATTTGATCACCAGTTTAAAAACTTCATGCAAACCAAATATGCAATTTCATAGAAATCCAGGTCTTGGTAATTATGTAATATTTTATTGTTATATTTATTGAATTCAGTCTTTTCTAGTGTTCATTACTTTTTTTAAACATTAATAATTTTATTGGTACAGGCGAAGATGCTCCTGGAGTTGATTGCCCATCCCTTCTGGAAATGAAGCCAGAGATTCCGGATGCACAGATTTTAATTAACAGAACACCTCCTCGTATTGCTGATGAAATGGATATGACGGACAGCTTTCAGGATGAAAATAACTCCTAATAGCTACAGATAGCAATTAGTATTTTTTGTTTTTAAATAACTGTGAAATATGGTGTCTTGCCTTATGATGGTTATAAATCAAATTCAGCACAATATGTTTTTTATTGTAAATATTTTGTATTTATTGTAGTAATAGCAAAATAAATTTTGTTGTACTTAATTTAAAAAAAAAAGTTCTTTTATTTGATGACATAAATTAATAGATTTATAAATGATTGTATTATAGATGTTTTTTTAATGATTTTCATGTGACTGTTAAAATTTAAGTCTGAAAGTATAACTAGATTTCTTGTTATAGTGTTCAGATTTATATATATATATATATAATTATAATGATATAAATGTTATTGTATTACAGTTCTTTTACAATTATTACTATTATTGAATTGCTGAGCATATGTACAGATAATATAAAATTTACATGCAATGTAATACATTATTTTCCATGTATTTTTTTATTTTAGATGTCATGGAAATTTAAAAAAAATATACTGCTCATATTTATAGCCAGTCAATTTTTTTTAATCTGTTCTCTTAATATCCAAAAATCTAACATGCAATTTTCTCCCCTCTAATATTTCTATAATTATAAATATTTTAGCAAACTACCTTTTTACAATTTAAATGTTGATTTTAATTATGTACTCAGTATAGGCATTAAAGGCAATGACAATAAGAATGCATCCCCACTGTGAACTAGATGTCTACGAGTGGATAAATATTATTTATCGAGTTTATTATGAATTCTGAAGTGCTAAATATTTTTATTGTTGTGAATCTTAATGTCACCATTAGAGTTCTCTAGGTTTAAAATAACTAGTAATACAATATATTTATAATGAAAGGTGTTCTAAATTTTGTTATTTAGATGCTATTTTGCATCAAAGGTTAAATAATAATTTTTCCAAAAGAGGACTGAGCTTTGAAATCTTTAGCTTGAAAAAAATGCAGATCTATAGATTCATCGGAAACTGTAGATATTAATGTTTGGTTGATTTTTAAATCAAAGTGATCTGAGAACTCAGATTCATTCATTCTTAAGGATATATATATATATATAAATGCCTTCTCATGAAAAGCTCAAAAATATTAGCCACTGTTAACAAAAAGATTTTTGTACCACATGTTACCAGTTTTTGAGGAGTATATTAGTATATTGAGGAGAATATTTTATGCTCTCATAAATGCCTTTTACTTTTCCTAATAAATGTTTTCATTTGTAACAATTGCTTCTATGGTCTTATAAACTCCTAAGTTATTTTTGAATAATTGATTAACGATATCACACCTTACAATCAATTTATATTTGTTTTATTATTGTTTCCTTTAACACTCATTATAACCTATGAACTCACTATTACTCAGTTCAAGAAATTTCAACTGTTTTTAATATAAATTATATTAGTATTTTCCTTATTTAATTTACCATGTAGGTTCTTTAAAGTAATGAATATATTCTGTATTATTAAATTGAAATGATTTAGCCGAAGTTGTATGTATGAATGCGTTAGTGATGTAGAACTCATTTAATATCTCATACAAAAGAGAATTAAAAAAAACATTCGATGAAATAAAAGAATGACAAACCGACAAATTATAAAATAATGATACATTTTAAGAAATTTATAATGCATGTTAGCAGGATCTTGAAAATGGCTCCTGAAGCCGAAACATCAAATAAATAATACATGATTTGATAACGTGTATATTTTTGTTGAACTTTGGCCTAATTTTTTTTTTTAAAAAGTCACCAAACCTAAAAAGATATGACGAGAAAATGAAATTTCATTGGTTTAAAAAATATATATATTATTATTTTCTTTATTTAATTTACCATGTAGGTTCTTTAAAGTAATGAATATATTCTTTATTATTAAATTATAAGCTGAAGTTAAATTTTATATGTTTTAGTCCTTAACATAAACAGATTTAAATAATCATCATTGACCCATTATTGATACCTTAATTTTATTAGCTATTGCAATAACTGGCATAATGATTAACTATTGTTGTCCATCCATCTGTTTTATACCCCGGATTGGTATTCAAAATAAAAAAAAAAATCAATTTTCATGAAGTTAGTTTTCTCAAAAATGTCTCTAATGATTTTGATTAAATTCATTGTATCAGTGTAAAATCAAGTTATTTTAATATTATGGAGGTTTTATTCTCATTGATGTTCTCTAACATGGTTTATATGCCTAATTTCCAAAATTTCTTCCTCTAAAGTAGCTTTAATTTTTTTTAATTTTAAATAATTAACCATTTTCACATTGTAATCTATTAAAATATATATATATTGTATATTTTTTACTTTCACTTCCTTTTGCTTGAAAATAACTATTTTTGTTATAAAAAAAAGGGTGGTAAGTGAAAGTTGTGTGATGTGCGCATCATACAAGATTTTTCCGTTCAAGTACGTACCACTTAAATATCATTTCATATAGATAGATTTTTATTTTTCTTCCAAAGTAATTATCCTTATTAAGAAGCCAATGCCTCAACAAAAAAAAATAAATCCTGGATTACTGGATTTATTACTACCCAGGGAAACTTGGACTGAGCAGGAAATTATTAAAACAAATTTAAGGTTAAGCAAAAACCATTTCTTTCTACTTTTATATTGATTTGACCCATGCCTGGTTTGGCTTCCTTTGGAGCTCTCAGCGAGAGTCTGAAGTGGGACCCCCTTACCAGTATAATATATATATATATATATATATATATATATATATGTCTGACGATTTTACAGACAGCGATTTGAGTTAATAAAAAGCATAGTTATCAAAAGTGGAAATTGGCCTGAGACGGAACAAAAGTTATTTACTGAATTCAAGACAGACTTTCTTAGATTTATTAGATCTATCGACTTCGATTTACTTACCAGGGATGGGCAGCATGGGTGATTTCTTGTTGGCTTTGTTGGATTGACTTTCTATGTTTAATATTTAATATTCCGATTTATTATTATTTTTGTGTGTTTATTCTTTGTATTTTTGTTTGTTGATGTATAAAAGTTTGAACTAAAAATGTATGTCATGTAAAACTAGAAAAGAAACAATTGTAAACAAATGTAATTCAAGTCTTTCAGGCATGGAGCATGAAGGAAAATCAAATAAATGATCTTTGGGCGGTGGTAAACACAGGGGGAAAAAAACACACACACATATATTCATTCATTCATGTATGGCACAACATCCCGTCACCGAGACTGGGCCTCCTCCAAGAGCCTCCGCCAGTTGGCTCTGTCTTCTGCTGCAGCTCTCCAGTTCAGCACACCAAGCAGGGTTCTCGCATCATAGGCCACGTTGTCCAACCATCTCGTCCTCGGCCTTCCTACCCGTCTTACGAGGTGCAGCTCCTCCATCATTATTTTTTTTGGTATTTCAAGGGTGCTCATTCTGGCCACATGCCCTGCCCACCTTAGTCTGGCCAGTTTAATATACGTGATAAGTTTAATATACACACACATATATATATATATAATCCAAGGGCGGATCTACGTGGGGGGGGGGGAGCTTTCGGCCTGAAGCTCTCCTCCCCAAAATGATAAAATATAACCATGTTTTATCGAAAAAAATATTTAAAAAGTATCTCTTAAAGTATTATTATTCATGTAATTACATTTAAAAGGGCTTTAAGAATAACTTAAACACCATTTCATACAGGTAGTTAGTTTCTTTCTTTTTTTCCAAAGTAATTATCGTTATTTTTATGAGAAAAAAAAACTTTCGGGCTGAAGCCCTCTCCAAAAATAAATCCTGGATCCGTTAGTGATATAATCTATGTGTATATAACTCAAATGATATGGGTTTAGTTAAACCTAGGAATCACCATTGAAGAAAATCTCTCCTGGAAATGGAAATCCCATATCGCCCTCATCCCCTGAAGGTCAATAGGTACCCTTAAGTTTTTTCATCACACTGCCCCAACTTATCGGCAAGCTCCTTGAATCCTGTCTTATTTTTCCCCACTTTGACTTCGGCTGCGTGTCATCCCGATGGGACTCGAAGATATATTGAAGCGTCTTATGAACTCCTTCTTAAGATTTGTATCAGTATTTCGAGGCGGTCTCATGGATTCCACCTTAAGGACGAGTTAAAGTGGCTCTTCCCTTCCTTCCGCCCACTAACGGATCCAGGATTTAATTTTTTGGGGGGCATAGGCGGATCTACTACACGGGCTTTGGGGCTAAAGTCCTCCCCCAAAATGGTAAAATATAACCATGTTTTATGGAAAAAAATTATCTCTTAAAGTATTATTGTTCGTGTAATTTCATTTAAAAGGACTTTAGCAATCACTTAAACACCATTTTCTATAGGTAGTTAGTTTCTTTTTTTCCAAAGTAATTATCGTTATTTTTATGGGAAAAAAAGCTTTCTGGCTGAGGCCTCACCCCCAGAATTAAATCCTGGATCCACTAGTGGGGAAGAGGCTTCAGCCTAAAGTTTTTTTTTTGTATGTATATATTAGGATAATTATTTCGGAAGAAAGAAAGAATAACTACCTAAATGAAATGATGTTTGAATGATTCTTTAAGTCCTATTAAATGTAATTAGACGAACAATAATACTTTTAGAGATAATTTTTTTCTTTAAACATGGTTATATTTTATCTTTTTTTGGGGGGGGGGAGGAGGGGCTTCAGCCCGAAAGCCCCCTCTCCACGTAAATCCGCCGACAATATTTCCTTAGATCTTACCTATTCCAAACAATCAACTCCCGGCACGCTTCCAACATCTACAGCCTCCTACAGTTCAAACCCATAGTCCACCCCCAGAAAACTAGATTCCATGTTTCCAACCTTTATACTAATTATTTTTGACTAAAATACACAATGGTACTACCTAAATACGAAAAACTATATTCGGGATCCTGTAGGGCTGCCCCCAATCATTTTACAGCGAGAAAAAAGTAAAAAACATTTATACTGGGTGGAATATGGGAGGAGTCCTAAAAAAAATCAGATATAAACGAATACAAAAAAAATATTTTTTGGGC